CTCTAGGAAAGGATCATTTGAAGAGGAAGTCTGGAAACATCGAAGTTAATCAGAACGAAGGCTTTCTATGATGAGAGCAGAGAAGAAGCCCCAGAACCATACACGAAAGCGGGCCAACATAACTACCCGTCAACTCCACAGAATACATTTGCGCTGCACCTTTCAGAAGCCATGTCGTCGGTCCTTCCTAATTAGTCACGCTTGGAGTTCACACTCTCTCCGTGCCTTCGAGTGCTGCTCATTACCAGCAATGATTGCTTTCTCTAGTTTGCACATCTCGTTATCCTTCCTTGTCGGTCTCGGCGGATCGTTCCACCCACGTTCCCAAGTCTCTCTATCGGGCATGAAGCTATCCGGCAAGCACACTACCTATAACTCCGATGATTCAACACGATCAGTGAACAGATGGAAGAAAGAAAATAAAAAGTTTTATTCAAAGAGTTTTTGGTTCAGGATGAGCGAAAGCAGAATCGACGCGGGACCGGTATGTTCATGTTGCAGTCCCTGATGTGATGGGAGGAGTGATGATGGAGGTGGTGATGGTAGTGGTGGTAATTATCAGAGAGCAGAGAAAGGAGAAGCTTCGAATTGCAGGACGTGTGAAAGGGTACCAGATCAATGTAGGCCCTTAGCCTCCCAATACATCCAGTGCCTCCACCGCCTCGAGGCCTAAGGTTGGGAGTCGTCATTTTCTCAACGGCACAGTCTTCACCGATTCAGCGTTTCAGCACGCTGGCTCCTATCCCGGAGCCGATGCGTCTGTGGGAGGTACGATACTGATGGCGAGCGTGTTAGATGAGGAAGGGTTGGGATGATGGTGATGGGCAGAACATGAACTGATGTTGAGGGCACCCTCACCTGCGATTGGACCTCTGAGACGACTTCGAGGAGGAGTGGCACCATCCGATTCCAACACAGACGCACCTTATGGAAGGCAGGAATCCATATGAAGACATCCTGAAGTCTAAGTACCTTTTGCCTCATCTTCATTTCCTCTCCCCTCACGAGTCACCAGTCGTCTTCGTCCTCGCCGCCTGAATCCCATTCTGAAGGCGATTTCTTCGTTATTTCGAAATCGACTCTCTTGTCATATACGAAATCTGGATCGCCAGGCTTCAATTGCGAACGACGGAAGTCCTCATCCATCACCTCTTTTTTTCTCCGCAGCTCCTCTTCTGGGATCTGATTTCAAATTATGATAAATCTGATGATCGTCATTATCGATAGCGTAATAATTTTTAGGTACTAAAAACATGAAAAATAGACAGGGTCTATTTTAAACATATGGATAACAACTTCGTTCTCTTCTAAAAAAAAAAATTGTTCATAATTAACACAGTTAAAACGTACCTTCAGCGCGACTTGCAGTAGATGGTCACGCTGCAAAATACTAATAATTAAAAAGGAATATTATTCCATTACCTTTACATATAAAGGGAATGCTTCCGTTCGCCATGTATCTATTTTACTTTGATCATCCAGTGCATACCTTGGGTAGGGGTATTGCTCCCACCAACCCCTGCCTCCTGTCAACTTGGTTTGTTTCTCCTTCCCCCCCCCCCTCCTACCAATCGCAATCGAATACCTTTGGAATGGGATGCATTAGTCCCACACTCCTTCTGGAAGGAGACAGCAGATTCCAGCAACGTAAAGAAACAACAGATTTTCACATCGTCAAGAACGATGAGGAGATTCTTGCGGCACAAAAATGTCAAGACTCCACTCGCTTTTATCCTATTCGTCAAAATGCCATAAAACAGGGCACGGCCAAAACAATAAAAAGAAGGGAATAAGGCATGAAAATAGGAGCCAAAAATCCTGAGAATATGACGATTCGGAAGACATGTGGAAACTAGTCATTCTTAGCAAAGCCACGGAATAATGCGACTGAACATGCAAATGAAGTTTACATTTATTAGCAAGCCATATGCGATGGTTACGCTGTTGAAGTTTTCTGGAGTTATTAGGATTATTCTTACATGAAACTCTAACACATGGCTTAGGAAAGGAAAAAACCTGTTGCATGCAAGTAAATAACTCAAATGGTAAAAATTCGCGTTTGAAGTAAAAGTGATTGGGCCATTATAGGTACTCGCGCAAAAGTGAATAACAATTTTAGGTGCAAACAGATTTAACATGGATTTGGGAGGAATTCCAGAGGTTGTTTGCAAAGCAAAAGTCATGCTCAGTTGCGATAAAATGAGGCCTTTTGCGTAAAGTGCTCTCTCCTTGGGTAAGATTCACCACACAGAAGCATATGTGAAAATTTGAATCAGAATTTCAATAGCGAAATCTGGGACGATCTCACCTTGTTGAGGTCTTCGTTGGGATGAACAGAAAACTCCTGACGCACGGTTTCCACGGCAGAGACGAGTTCCCCGTTTTTCTCATACTCTTGAAGAATCCGGATCATTTTCTCTATCTTGGCTAACGGGATGGACTGGAGGAGGTCGTGATGCCGCTTCTGCATGTCCTTTGCCATCTGGACGAAATCTTCCGTCTTCTCGCTCAGATTCCTCACCGGCATGACGAGCTGGCGGTATTTCTCATCGCCTCTGTGGAAATACACGAGGACCAGGGAACGGGTTTTCACACGTACCCCGATTTTTTTCACCTCTATGTCCATGGCGATGTGCACGTGGGGAACTGGGACGTCGTGGTGTGGATCGATGGGAGGCCAGGTGTGTCACGCGGATATCATCGATCCAGTCTCTCTGGCTCGCGTACAAATGTGATCAGGGGAATAGCCGGAAGTTCTTTCCGGGGAAGGGGCTGCAGGTTAAATCTACTGACCTATCTGTTTGCTTTACTGGAATCAAGACTCTGAACATATTTTAGCCTCTTTCTGGGCATTTTAAATCTGATTGCTTTTCCTTTACATTTGCAGAATCTGCGGCCTCTTTAATTTTCACTGCCTAAGTAAACTTATTCTGATTCTACTTTGCATTTGGTTTCGAGGTGGGGAGGCCTTGCAACACCACTGCTCGTGGCCACCAAGGATGCGTGGAGCACAGTGGCATGGGGAAACAGTGTGGAGTAGGGCCGATAGGTCTCAGAGTTCGCCACAAGGATAATTTAATTAAAGATATTCTTGTCCTTCGACGTCCCAAATCATTGCATGCTCGATCGAGACAGAACTCTTCCTTAAGGTATAGAGGCTGTAGGCCTTGGTCAGAGTTTCATGCCATGAGGAACTGACGAACAGTTTCTTTGATTTTCTCGAATTTAAGCATTATTTCTCTCTTCTCCCGTACCTGACGACCGCCTCATTTTGGCATTCCCCATATTTACGATGTTTCCCGAGACATATTAATGCTCATGACTCCCCAGTCCTCAGTCTGTGTGAATAAGTGCAAAAAGAGGACCTTTATTTATTCGTGTATCTCGTACTTGGGGTCATACCCAGTCTACAATGAACGTGAACTTTGAGGATTCGCCCATGTCATGGGGAAAATTTCAGCCACCAAAGATGTAAAGGATGTAGGCATCGGAGGCATTCTTGGCTTGGGGTTTTGAATGTTTATTTCAGGAGCAATTGTTTAATTTGTTTTTTCAAAATGATTGAATTACTCAAACTATGATTTTTGTGCAAAAAATGTTATGTTGGGCGCTTAAACAGGGAATAGACAGACGAAAATTGAAAAAAATTCATTCTTGGAGAAATAAGGGTTCATTCTAGGAATCATCCAGACGTTTTCCAATTAAGGATTTAATAATAAAATGAAACCAAACGATGAATAATAAACATTCTGAGATACGCAATAGGTGCTATTTCGTCTAGGGCAGTCTGTTCAATACAGGGTGATTCAAAAGTCCCTCCCTCGTTTCAAGTATTAATTTCTCCAAGAACGAAAAAGATTCACGCAAACCAAATACATCATCCTTCAGAGCATTTATGGGAGTTTTTTTTTCCATATGAGAAAATTAACTTCCCAACTTTCGCAGCACTTCCACATGCGCAAGACCAATTTCAATGCAGCCACCTCCGAACAATCTCATTCGCAACTTAAAAACCATCCCTATGAAATTTTCTTGCATTGCAGTCCTAATGCGTTCTTCCAAATCTACTAAATTGTATGACTTTAGAGCATACATTTTACACAGCCCCACAGAAAAAAGTCGACCGAGGTCAGATCACTCGCCGAGGAGCCCTGGGAGTTGGACCGCGTCTTCCAATCCATCGGTTAAAGAAGTGATGGTTCAAGAGGCATCGCACACACGCGCAACAACGCGGAGCCGCATCCAGTTGAAAGATGATCTCATCGAGGTTAAAGGGCTCTAATTGAGTAATAGCAATAATCTGGAACATTTCATGATAAGTTTCACCATTGACATTTGTTGTTCGTCCGTCATTTTGGAAAAAAAGGCTCAATGATTCCATGGCAGTAAGAGCACACTAAACGTTTAGTTTCGGCATATCGAACTCATGCTCACGAAACACTCCTGGGTTCTCAAGTCTCCAAGTTTTTAAAAATGTATAGTGTTTTTCGTATGATTTTGGCATCGGGACCGTTGCGAACTTCGAAATGCCTTCGAAATTCACGCTGCATAAGCCACTGAACCAAACGTGTCCATCCAGATTTTGCACCGCTGCAAAACCGAGTAGCCTTCTGCCATTCCAAGCCCAGAAACTGGAAGCTTGGTGTTTCAATAGTTTACCACCATTTGACTATCATGTGAGCTAATTTCACCTCGAAATATTCAAAATCCGTGGAAATAAAAAGAAAACAAGTTAGGGAATTACTTTTAAATCACCCTGTATGTTAAGTGCACACTCGGTGGGATCGCTCTCGATGACGATTCCTCGCACGTCTCTGATGTTTTTTCAGAAGGTGCTGTAATTCATCTAATATAGAACGAAGACTAATTCAACTACGAGTGCTCGCCAGATGAACGCATATTGGACTCAACGGATCAAAACCATAAAATGAAAATCCACAAGGGATACTCATCTTCCACCAAACGGGCCTCCTTCAGATTCATAATGTCCAGAAGCCGACATGAAAGGTCATTCGTTACCCTCTCGTGTTGAAAACGCGTTCCTACGCTGGCTGAGTCAGTGACAGACAGCACTTGAAAGAAAAGGCAAGGTGTCATAAATACTGGCACTTTTATTGAACAATTCAATATCACAAGGGGCGTATTTGGCGCGCTTTGAGCCAAAAGTAGTTAACAGCAGGAGGAGTCAAATAAGGTAAAAAAAAAAAAAAAACTTAAATGGTTTTACAACCATGCAACAATTCGGGGCATAACACACACAAGGCAAGCCGATAGGCTTGTGAACTACAGATCAAAAGCAGGGACAACCCGAGTGAAGATCTATGAGAAGATTCTAAGAATTGTACTGAGATTCCAAAGATTGAAGGTAGCCTGGCGTGACTGCAACTGTGCAAGAGATTCATTCAATACAACCACTGAAGTTTGGTATACAGAAAGTATGTGTAAAATATAGATTGAAGGAAAATGCTGAAGGCTGAAAAATAAAACATGCAGAGAAGTTGATACATTAAGATGTCTTCATCCTTCCAAGGCCACAGAATATGAAATTTCTAATGCTGTAGCTGTCAAAAAAAGTTATTAGTGTTTACAACCTCATCTGCTAATGAATTTGCCTATCTATATTTTCATACCTCCCAAAGCTAAAAAAAATCAGAACTATGTTCTCTTTTTTTCAATGGAAGAACAGCTTACTTGAGTACTTATCAGCTGCATCATGGAAGGATAATAAAAACCAGTGGGTAAAAAGCATGATGCTTTCATAATTACCTGCATCAAAAGGCTGTACAAATGAGTCAATGATGACTACCTTCATGCCTTACTACCTGGAAGAATTTGCTTCATACTTTACCATATGCACCTGGTAGCAGCAAGTCACTATGTAAGCCATTCTTATTTCTTCAAGGATAAGGTGCAGTAGAAAAGTAATCACTATGGCACAGCTTCTTCACAAATAAAGGAAAAACACTGTAATGCTGGGTGCTTTAACATTTTCACTGTTCTGCAAAAAATATCTGCCACCCTCTCTGTATTATAAAAATAGGGATTGTTTACCTGAAAACAATAGTTTTTGTTTAAAATGTCATATCAAGAAAACTTTTGATGATGATTTGATTACATGCATAAATAGTGGTGAAATAGCCTAGAAACTAAATGGTCACAGCCTGAGTATATACTCAGGCTCCCACTACACAAGCTGTCTGTGTAACCAGAATATGTACTCAGGTAAATAGCAAAAGGTTAACCCTTTTCCTAGCATTGGGGAAGTTTAACGTTGATATCCTCGAAGAGTTTGGATATCCCTGCCAGGGAAAGGGTTAATAGCATGTTTCTTCAATAGCTGTTCAAAACTTCTGCTTTAGACCTGTCAGTTATTTCTTATTTTTCTTATTACAAAATCCTTGTCTAAACAGTTGACTTATTAAATTTGGTTAGCAATTCAAAAGAGGAAAGGAAGATCATCGTAAAATTTTTTCAAACTAAAGGCACTCATAAGCAATATGAAGACATCTAAGGAGGGTCTGTTATGCCAGCTAGCACAGTTCTCAGGTGGGTGAAACAATTTCAAGAGGGACAGCCCTGTGTTCTTCATATGAAAGTGGCCATATTCAATCATGTGACCAAAAATATATATACCTAACCCTGTAAAAAAAATAATTTTGGAGTATTGAGACAAAGTTGAAATTTCATACAGGTGCACTTGAAACAGCTATTAAAGCACTCAACATTACAATGCTACTTTTCTAGGAAGAAAGCACTGCAATGATCACTATTTTTACATGTAAATTATAACCACCAAAGTGAATATTTCTCACCAAACATAATACACAAGAATGAACTCAACTTCTATGGGATGGGATTTTTAAATCTCACAAAATTCAGGATTTTCTTGCTGGTGCAATGATGCATCACATCCATCATGAGGTAGATGACATTGATGTATCATGGAAGTGCCTCCATGAAGGGGTGTAAACTTGTGAATCATCACGGGGCTTTGAACGAGATGATGGGAGATCTGAGGGCAGCCTCCCAAAAGGGGAAAGTGTTTGATTTTCTCGAAGGGGTCGACGAGTCAATGATTGATTCCGCAACAATTTTGCTGAAGCTCTTATGGACTTGGCATATGAAAACATTCCATCTCCTGGATAGGCGGGAAAAGGAGCTTTCAAAAACCATAGACGATAGAGAAGAAACCATGAAGCCAGTGCCACAAGGCACCCAAACAATTTTTCAGTCATGATGTGAAAGTAGAGAAGTGTTGAAAGGAGCAGCATGTCATGAACTAACAAGTGAAACGTCATCCAAATGAATAATAACCTTATATAGAGTGTGTAACGTTCAAAGTACTGCTTCATCAGGGAGAACTCAAGGTTGGTCAAAGACTTGAGGGAAGTGTCTTCATCTGATCCTTCTCCATCTCTATTATAATCCTCTCTGCGAATCATCTCTCGGATATTTTCCCATCCAATGATCACCTTAGCCTCCTCCATCATGATGAGATTTGCAAAGATGGCAAGGAAGGTATGTCCTGAAATATCAAAGCCTCGCCATCTGTGCTTTGCAGCCACACAATGACTTTTGAGCTTATATTCTGGCTGAGTGCAGATTCCAGTATGGTTCTCAATAGCACTGAAAATTTCCAAGCAAAAAAACCACATTCCTGTGGCAATCATCATTCTTGAGATATGTTTCATGAAGATCTTTCGTCGGTCTCCACATAGGAAAATCATGGAGGTGAGATAGATGAAAAGAGACATCAGGATTAAGACAAATCCCCATCCAAAACTTCTGAAGATACGATTGAGAAGGTTCTTGCTGTCAGAAAAATAAGTTTTTGGAAAGGGCATGACATCCGCAATGATGGAGAACAGAAAGGTGACTCCCAAGTAGATTCCTACTTTGTATCGGATATCAAAGAGTAGAACTTTCTTGCACATGTGAACTGCAATCAGGAGGACTACATGATGAATAGGCAAAGGCTCAGGTAAGGGCTTAGTTCCCTTCATAGACATTTTTCTGTCTGAAGAGGGCCTGAAATTCAGGCCTGGGTGGGTCCTTGCAGAAGGCATCTCCTCAGCATGTGCTACATATGGATTGCACTTTAGTTGTTTTAAATAGCACACAAAAACCTTTCAAAGGAAATGAGGTACAACTGTCAGAATGCAACAGCACCTAGGCCTACACTTAGAAATACATAATTCTGAGGCAATTAGATGAGCTATCTTTTCAGGAAAAGAAAATTTGATTACAAAAGGAAAGAAAAGGAAAATACATTTAATTAAAAAAAAACAATAAATTATTAGGCATTTCATGAAGGTCTATTTGTTATTAGTCAAGGTTATCCAGTAATTGCTTAAAGCATTAATATCTTTTGCACTTGAAATGAAAATTTAATGTGCCGTTCTCGGTTCATAGGTGCCAATTTCTAAAAAAAATATTTGGGGGGGGTGGCTAGGTTCTAATGCCCCTGAAATAACATTGATGGAATCGTTCCAGGATCCAGTGGGGTAGCTCAGTATTATTATGGTAGCTGCTTCTTGACGAGTGGGGGGGGGGGGGGGGGGGGGGGGACAAACAAGCAAAGGCATGCCTCAAGCCTTAAGGGGGGGGGGGGGGGTGGGGGGGGGGGGGGGTGCCTAAACAGACAGGAAAAACATTTTAAATAAATTTCTATGAAACAGAACTTTGTTTCCCATTTTCTCTGGGGACACGTGCCCCTTTGCCCTAATGGGTTCGGCGCCTATGTCTAGGTTACTACGGACCTGTATGGTACGGGTTTCCGGCTCTCTAGGACAACGTGGTTGCTGTGTTTTGGGGCGAGTAGGCCGTACCGGGGAACAATTTTTCAATATCACGTGGTTCATAACCTGATACGACAGGTGAAATCCAGCGTTAAGTACGAAAGGAGTAGGGCTACACTAAACAGAAATGGGAGGCTGAGAGAGCAAATGAACGCTCAGCGGGAAGGTGAAAAGTAATAGATATAGGCTCTCCTACTGACAAGCGGACAAGCGAGAAGGGCACAGGGCAGTGGCCATGTTTATTATATGGCACCCATCAGAACAGTGGGAAGCATGGTCGAATTTAAGCACCACGTGGGCTCGGTCTTAGATTCTATTGCCGGACATGCTCACAGCAATGCCAATAAAGGAGCTCAGTACATAATACTGTACAGTGCCAGGGCGAAACAAGCTTATCTTTGCCGTGCTTATAATTGTTAGTGTAGCGTAAACCCCCAGGTGAGGCGCAGGTTACGACAGGACTTCTTTACTTGTAGGGTAGCGAACGCGTGGAATGTGTTGAGTGATGATGTAGTGGCTGCACCTTTCGTGACTACGAGACTACATCTTGTAGTTTGAAAAGGAGATTAGATGCATACATGAACATGACAAAAAAGGGATAAATGTAAAAGTAAGTGACTAGGCATGAAATGGATATGCCCCCACAAAAATACAGGGTGCTTTAAAAGTAACTGTGCACTGAATCGAATAGCTATTTCGCATTTTCAGCAATTGCTATGAACTGTTCATGAATTTCAGATCAAAATGGTCTTTTGTTTCCTCCAGGGCCGGATTAAGAAGTTGCAAGGCCCGGGGCAAGTGAATTCCTGCCCCCCCTGCTACTTTACGCTAATACAATACTTTCTTTTTGTACTTAACGTTTTTAATTTCCTTCGGGAGGCCCCCTGGAAGAGTGGGGCCCGGGGCAACTGCCCCCGTTACCCCCCTTAATTCAGCCCTGGTTACCTCTGATCTGTTTTGTGATGTTCTTGTATTTAACCCTTTCCGTGCTACGGACAAGTTTTCTTGCCGGATTACCCAATAGAGCTACAAAAATTCAGCATTGAAATCACTAGCAACAAATTGCTTTTTTCTGAATGACTTATTTTTCTAGATAAGACTGGTTATACCTCTACTGCACAGTTACTTTGAAACACCCTGTATATTATCTTTAAGAGGGGTTGGTCTATCTTATGGTATTATATGATTTCACCCCCCACCTTGACACAGGATGTCCTAATGGACATTAATGCATATTGACATCCTTGCCTAAACCTTGAACCTTGTAGTAATCTCTGAGATTGGTGCCCCTTTGAATTTTTAATTGTTTTGTGCCATCCTTCCATCTTTTTTAAATGATAAAATGCTCTCTGTAATTGTTACATAGTGGTATTAGGAAGACTTAAGAAGTGCACAGCCCTTTCAAGGTAACCTCATTCATAATTTACTTGTTTAAGACCAATTTGTAGTATTTTTTGGGTATGACTGTCTCTTTTGGATACCTTTTAGTTGTGACCAATTGGTAGAGATCATGTTATGTTATAGGATATTGATTGCTTCAATTTTGAGTCTTTCCTTAGTGTACTTCCTCTTTGGTGTATTTTTGTTCTACTATATGGTACAACACAAATTAGAAAATTATTTCATTATTGTCATTCTCACAACAGTTGGGTGAGGAGATATCCTCTCTTCAATGTGATGAAGAATTTTCCACTTGGTCTAAATAATTCTTGGATGGTCTTTCATATTAGTTTTACTTGAATTGATAGCACTAAATTTCAAGCAGTTCTTAAAGAAATTGGGGCTTATATTGAGAACAGGGAGACTTCTCATGATGGTGATTGTTTCAAGGAGAATCTGCATACCATGCAGGAGGGCATAACTCTGACTGGGCTGTATCTGGACTAGAGTCTTGTAATTCCAAATTCCAGTTTATGAGGATGACACAAGGTATCTCCTTCATTGTGATTATAATTCAAGAGTATCAAAGGAAATTCCTGAAAAAATAATCATTTTGATGCTCTTCAAGTAACAATTTTCAGAGTCATCAGGAAAAAATGTATATTTTTTTATTCAGCTTTGAGTTACAAATTCATTGCCTCCATGCACAACTTTCTCCCCTCATCTGTATCCCAGATTCCCCACCTTTATGTCAAAATGAAATCTTGCTTCTGAGTCTCATTTCCTCCCAGGATCAGCAAACATGTGGAACCATGTGAAGCATTTCAAACTTTTTCTCTCAACCTCCCCAATGTGCCAGAAGACCAACTGAGGTCTCTACTTTAGCACTATAACCAATGAGAGACCACTGCAAGCAGGTGATAGCTCTGATATCAACCAGTTACTTAAAAAATCTAAAATGGACACATCTCTAGAAGACAGGTCATTTGATCATGATGACATATCAGGGTTGACTTTTCCTGGGGTGTAGAATATAGAGTAGGGTGACCATATTTTTTTAAAAGGAAAATCCGAGACATTTTCCCTCCATTTACGATTGACAATAGGCCGATGAGCTGCTTACTACAAATGAGTGGCACCGAAAGGAAAAATTGTCGAATAGTTTTCCGAGTAGGGCAGTACCACAAAACCAGGGGCTGTTCCAGAGAAAACAGCCTGTCCTGGTTTTATCGGGACAATTTGGTCACCCTAATATAGAGGATTGAAGTGAATTGAATACCATGATTGTCTGCTGGGAATGTACTTGTGTGTCTGCACCCATTTTGCCATCAATATGGCAAAAAATTGTTAAACTTCTTAATTTTTTTATTTTAAAAAGTGTCTCAGAGGGTATGACCATTCTGTCAACTAACATCAATATAAAGTCCTATAATAGGTCTGTGATCATATGTGTCCTAAAGTTTGGGAGAAGGCCTGCTAAATCATTTTGATCCTAGCTTGCAATATCGCTAGAATCTTGGTTATTGACTGGCCTGATCTTGGTAATTCCTCATTTCAAGTATTTACAGTGGTTAATGCAGATGTATATCTAGAGCATTCAAATTAGTATGGGAATTTCCCATTACGTGAAAGGATTGGTGCTGATAATGGGAGTTTTAACACCAAAATATCAAAGAGAGAAAAATTGCTTGTAAAAAGAAGGAATTTGGACAGGAAATGATCATTCACTAAAAGTAGAAATGAAGACCTGAGGCACACCATTGTTCTGTGGAACATCATTTCCTCTTAGACTGTGGAAATATTGGATGTCTAAAAAAAAAATTAACTCTGCAAGAATTGATTCCATTGTACTACAATAAATTTGAATTGAAAATTTTGAGATAGGTAAAATGAGAAGAGATTGAGCCTTCCATTGCTGAAGATTGCATGAGGATCAATGAGCTCAGAAGTGACATAAAAGAGAATCCAGCAATGCAAGCAAACAAAGATGCCAGTGATCTGCAAATGTACTGCCAGGAGACTCTTCACTCTATTGCTGGTTCTTGGGCACATGTCAGCAAAAATGTCAGTATTCCTTGAATGAAAGAATCTTCCTTGTGATCTATGTCTTAATCTCACCTTGCACACCTTGAGCATGCCTTGAACATGTCCTTAAGTGGTGTTGTTTAACTCATTGATGTTTTTCTTGTTCCTCAATAAGCATCTAATTCCAGATCACTGACCTGTGGTAGTGAGCAGTTTCTTAATAAAGTTAAAAATGTTGAATCTACTAAGTGGCTCCCTCACATTGTTGGTATATGCTTATGAAGTTATAAGTATTTACCTCTTTGCATTGTGGTATGTGATCAAGCAATGGAGACGGCTTCCACATCATTCTAATTGTGAGTTGTGCGTCAAGTCAACATTCTTTGTCTCTGTCTGGATTTCTATAACATTGATTCATTGCGTGCTACAATCATAACTGTACGAACAATTGCAATATGCCAATGTAGTGAATCCCTGCCCCAAATTTGAATACGGAGGAGTCCATCTCATCTAGGTCTTGGATGAACATGAATTGGGTTTGACCTATCAATGAAATCCTTCCTCAACTGGAAAGCTTTCTACTTTCAGGTAAAGAGCATTCTAGGTAGAGTAGGATCAAGCGTATACTTGAAGCCAGTGCATCTGGCTCCTGAAATTGGATCAATATCTTTCTCCCATCAAGGTGGAAAGAAAGAAGAAGGGAAAAAAATATTTCTGCTGATAAAATCTGACTGTCCACAGGAGCTAGTATAATGCCATGGTCCAGGAAACCAAAACTGGATGCATACAGTCCTGGCTTTACCAGCCAAGATTGCACCTTGCACATACCTAATCCCTTGTATCTCCCATCTCTATTTGTAAGGGGCAAAGTGCATCATAAACTTCAACTGTATCTTGTTCAATAGTAATTTTTAATATGAACTGCACCATCACAACTTGAGTGTGTATACATTCAGAATTATGATTGGTATACTTTTCTTTCTGTGAAGTTTTTGGTTAAATTAGCATAATCCAGCTATGAACAAAGGAATACCTCTTTTTATCCCTACCCAACCTGGAACACTTGGAGCAAAATATGAAATTTGGAAATATGCACTTCAGGTCTTTGAATTTATTATTGTTAGATTGTTATAAGTGATGTTTCATGAAGAACTGGTATCAACTTTGCTCCCTACCTTTTCTATTGAGAACTGATAGTGAATTTTGTTTATGAAGACTAATATTTTAGTAAACTAAATGTGTCTGCATACAAATGCAGGCCTTATTCATTGTAACGTATGGTCCTTGCCCAGAGGGGACTAAAATGTATATTTTCATCAATGAGACAAGTATGACTCAAATTAAAATATGACTAAATTAACCCTAACCATGGGAAGCAAGTTTGGATGCAAACTTTGATCATTTCTGGAATGACAAGATGGGATGAATTTGTTTGAAAAGCTGCAGCTTCTGTTCTTTAGTGGAAAGAAGTGATGGATATGTGGCAGTTGTTACTGGAGGAAGTGAAGGCATTGGAATGGAGGTCTCCAAGCTTCTCATGAAAACTGGTTATCATGTTGTTGTTGGTACGTACTTTTCACATTTCATGAATATTACAACTTGTTTACTAACTTTTTTTGATAAAATGGCCAATTTTTCCCCTTCCCCTGCAGGTTGCTTGAACCCTCAAGTTGCAAGCAGAAACCTGATCGCATGGAAAAATGAGACTCTTCCACCAGGTTCTGTTACATGCTTATATTTGGACTTGGCTTCTTTTGGATCAGTGCGTCAGTTTGCAGATACCTTCTTCAGCCTGAGGCTTCCTCTTCATCTCCTCATCAACAATGGTACCCAGTGTACAGGTTCATTCTTTGCTTACACTACAAGTACTCCAAGTACTCAAAAATTTTTACTAATTTATTAGATTGAGATTACTGGATAAATTAACTTTTCCTTACATTCTGAAAAAAAAGTCCTCAAAGTTCCTTGGCCTCCCATGAGGGTTGCACATCAGCAACAGAACCTCTTGAACGAAAGTTAGCAACATAAAGTTACACAGATTTGCTTGATGGAGTAATACAGAGATTGAAGTGGTTTCTAAGCGCACATTGCACTTAACACTACTGACTTGTGTTCAGAGTACAGTTCCACTATTTTGGCTTGCTGAGGGACACTCCACCTGTCCATCCTAATGTCTTACCTAGGGAAACAGAAAATAAAATATATTAATTACATGAACCAGACTACATGTGTGGGAAATTGCAGCTCTCTATCTCCATCCATTACGCCAGTGTCACTTTGAAAATGGATCATTGTTTCTGGGCCACCCTGTATCTCACATAGAAAACTTACCTTATGCTCTAATGTGAAGGAGGGGGTCCTATTAATTTTCTTAACCCTCTTAGTGCCATGCTTTCCAGTGTGAAAAATGCCATGCATGTTTAGGTAGTGGTATACCACACTCTAGTGGTATGCCCAGCACTTCCCTCTGCCAGCCCTTTAAGGAACCAGCAGTGAGAGAATTTTGTGGCTGAAATTTTGACCCAAGACAATTTTTGCACAACCAGGTCTAGGGCCAAAATATTGGTCTATGGTACTTAGAGGGTTCCCAACCTGTGAGACACAGCACCCAGGGGTGCTGCAAGTGGCTCACAAGGATCACATGGAAGTTGGGTGCTTTATTTTAGATCAGTCACCAAATGAAGATCCTGATTGCTTTTGCCACCACATATATATGACTACCTTCTCTTATCCTGCAGTCAAGTCCCAGCTACTGATTATTTGTATGGGATCACTTCAAATATTGAACCATATCTTGATTTTCTGTTCAACCAGTGGTAGGCACAAGTTTTGCACTCATGAAATAAGCAAATAAGTTTGAATTCTTCTTCTTGCAATAATTGTCTTGTTAAGTGATTGTTTGAAATTAACCTTTCCTTGAAATTAAAATGAAAGATTAATCATCTTATTTATTTTCCAGCATATACTGGGTGTGGAGAGAAAAATGTACCACTGTTTTAATTTGTATACATTAGGAAATCAGTCATTGCTTCAGTAAAGTATGTTCCAGGATATATGCATCTACATCTTGTCCTCTGTGGGAAAAGTTATCTGAAATTTTTTTTCTCTGGTTTTGCTGCAAAAGCATTTTGAAAGTTGTGAAAAAAGTTTTTTCATTCCAACCTATTATTATCCTCTTGCCTAAAATGGGAAGCCACTACACTTGATTGCTTTTCCTCCAATTTGTCAATTGTTTCAGTTGTGATCAGGTAGTTGTCCAAGACAGACTGTATTGAGCAGCACTTTCTGGATGAAAATGTGCACTGACTTCATTAAAAGAGTGATTCTTTGATGAAAACCGCAGCTGAATGCTGTCATCCAAGCATAAGGCCCTGTGGATCCATTTCATTGAATCTCCTTGGGCTTGTGAGGATTTCCATGTATTTTACTAGCAAATTGTGAAGTGCTTGTTTGGCTAAACCAGGAGATGGAAAGTTTTTACAAAAGATAAACATAATAGAACATATGTATCATAGATTCATATCAGTTAGGACTTATACAGCAATAGCTTTGACCATTTTCAAGAAATAAGTATTCCCACAGGTTTCCAACATGTTTTTTTCCCTATATCCAGTATTTGAGTAAAGATGTATTGAAGGGCTTCTTGGCAGGAAACACCACAGGGAAGTGGATCCTTTTTGAGAAGTCAAAGCACTAAGTCAGTCATGACTTGGCGAGGTAGTGATTTAGCTACCATCACACTTCAAATATAGGAAGCCTTTTTTTTTTTTTAGTAATTGCCAGTTGGCTTGCCTGGTGCTAATTTATTTCCTTATATGGTTTGGCATTTAACTGTTGACCTTCTTCATTGATAGAATTGAGCCAATAGACATTTTATTTTACTAGTGGAGATTATCAAATGGCAACCATGATGTCATTATATGCAATAGGACACTTAGGTATATTCCTTTCACCAATTATCCTGAACTCCTTGTTGCAATTTCAATGATGACCAGTATGGTTGGAGTGCCTTAGTCCAGGGCTGAGCAATATTTCTTTCTTGAGCAAAATTATGAAGTGTGCAATAAAAATTTACAAAATATTTAAAAATATTTCAATGTTTTTGATTCCATCAAAATTTACAAATGGAAAGGTGACAGCCAGATCCCAGAAATTGTTTCTTTTTTTTTCTCACTTGAAAAACCTTATATCTTGAGGACATTGACAGTGGCTAACTCTGATGTCTCCATTTCCACTCCCCAATCTCTGCACCTTGCAAGCATGGCCCCCCCACCCCATTGTTTATGTCTATCCTTGGGAAAAAGATGGTGCTGTCCTAAGGGAGATAGTGTCCATCCTAATATGTTCTTAGATCACTCCTGATAATTCATCAGGAGGAATAGGAGTCCTCATTTTTCCTGCTGATGTGGTCAATAAAGCAAAGTATATATAATGAAAATGAGGTTGATAGGCCAGTATCAGTATCATATTTATTTTCAATCTCAATTACATGTTGCCATCAATGGCACTATCAAGTCTGATGCAACTAGACTGTCTACCATATGTCCCTATTGTGATAGTCTGATAGAGTTGCAATTATTTCACAATGATCTTTTGTTTCTTCTCATCATACACGTGGAAGTTATGTTAACAACATCATAGAATACCAAAAAGTCGGACTCTAGTGTAAGCTATGCTCTGCACGCAGAGCATCACTAAGCTCCATCTGATCAAGACTTGCATTTCTGAGTTGGTTGAATCATGATTAGAGCAACCCTTCTCAATCATAATTACAGTATGTGCCACAATGAAACTCACTCAGTTTAATTATAAAAAATTGTTTATTTATCATTTGGGATTTTTTCTCCTGCATAATAATCAAGTGCCTTTGTGGCCTAGATGAGATAGGTTTCAATGTGGGACCCTTCTTGCACAACAAAATGTTCAATCCGTTTTTTTAATTACCCAATTACCTTCCCATAGGTTTCTGCTAGGATATTTTCAATGGCTTCTTGAATGGTCTTTTCAAGGGCTGAGGGCTGACCCTCTCCCATACTCTTTTTCAAACTTTCATACCACATCTGATGGTGACCTATGGGTAAATCAGTAGTTTTCAACAACGAATATTTCTTGTTCAGGAGTGAGCATTTGTTAGCCTTTCTGCTGAAAAATTGAATGGAATTTCAAAATTCATAAATCAAAGGGTCTTTGAGATACAAAAGTCATATTCTGGGGATAGTTAGAGTGGTCCCTCAGCAACTAAATGAGACCAAGATTTAAAAATTTTTAAACCTCTTACCTGAGTGCTGGTAGAAGAACCAAGAAATTTTCAGAGAATTGGCTTATTTTGAATGAAAAATTTTCAAAATTTGAAATTAAGAACAGAGACAATAGTAACAGCTTTAAACTATGCTACAAGGTTGGAACTCAATGATGACTAAGCAAAATCTTGGTTACTCCCATACGCTGACAGATGGTGCTTGTTTTAGTGAGTTGAGTTCATTGTGCTGCACCCTGTTGGTTTCATTTGTTAGCATGTAATTCCCAGATGAACATATGTGATTTTGTTGGAAAAGGTTATCTTATGTTAAATCTGTATGCAAAGTGAGGATTGTTATATGACAATCAATTTTTCATTTATTAGTGTGAAATGGATGTATCATGGTGAGAACCATAATTTCAGTGATATGAAAAATTGAATTTTTATTGTTAACCCCTGAGTGACAGGAATCTAGTTCTGTGGAACCTACCATGCATTTGCACTCTGGACACTTCCTCAGAGCATATAAGAGATGTCAATGTTAGAGATCCTGCAGTTCCAGCCATCACAGTGATTAGCTTGCAAGAATAATGCACCATTCTGGAAAAAAAAATACATCAAATGCCTGTGAAGCCATGGGCAGCCTGGACCCCTTCATCTTTCATTGATCCCTCTAGCCAGAATACTGCATGACTATTCATTATTTTGCCTACTAAATCACATATGAAAAGAGCTTCACAATGATGTATCATTTGCTGTCATTGTGGCATGGAATCCTGAGCAATGAAAGGAAATAGAAGGGACTAAACTCACTCAAAAAGGGGAGACTGCAAATTGTTGACCCCTATTTTGAGTAGGTTTCAAAACAAAATTATTGTTTTTATTTTGAAAATTTTAATTAAAAACATGCATATCATGGACATATGAGGGTTGGTACAAAAGTAATGCCTCTTAAATTTTTTCTCCCAACTCATGCATGGAAGACTGCCAAAAAATTATTAGGTAAAGATTGATATTTTCTGTCCTTGCTGCGTCAGTTTTTCGGAAAGGTATCATTTGGAAGCACCACAGCACCTGTTCAAAATGGCTGCTGTCCTTGTTGCGTGTGCAAAGAAGATTGCTATCGAATTACTGACTGCAGAGGGAAAACAGGGAAAATAGGCAACTGGAAGACATTAATAGGACCTCTACCGCTGATGTGAGCATAGTGAGAAGGGTGGGTTAACAGGATTGAGTGGAGAATCTGACTTGAAAACATGCCACACAGCAGTAGCCCTGCCTCAGCAGTACTACTAGAGAAGATTCCCAGATTAGATGAGCTGATTCGCAACAATCGGCGCATCACCACACAAGTTGTGCAAATCTGTTGGAGTCGGAAGACTTACAATCATCAAGATCATCCACAACCTCGGCTACTCTAAATTGTTTGCTCTGTGGGTGCCTGAAATGCTGATGGACATTCGCAAACAAAACCGACAGACCACACATGCTGAAATGCTCAAGCGTTTCAAAGTTAAAGGTGAGATGTGTCTCTCCCGCATCATATCTGGTAATGGGACATTGGTGCACCATTATGACCCAACCTGCAATTGGGATTTGGCACAGTCTGACTACCAACTGTTTGGTTCTTGTAAAGATGGGTTATGGGACAGAACTTCCAAGATGACAGTGAAGGAAAAGAAAGTTTTACAGAGATGGCATACATGCCCTTCTTGAGCACTAGAAAGAGTCTGTTGAATGCAATGGGAACTAAATGGAAAAAAAGCCATGTATATAATAGGGCCTGATCTATTTTCCAGCCCAATTTCATCATTTTTGCTAAAAAAAAAAGGTTAGCAAGAAAAAAATGAGCAGGCATTACTTTCGTACCGACCCTCGTACATTTTAAACTTTAAAATCGTAAGACTTTAGCTCAGTTTATTTTTCATGATAGTCCACCACTCTGCATTTTCCTTTGAGGAAAAATGTTTTTTTAGTTATTGGAGCTCTGGTTCCTTTGATAGCACCCAACATTTTCTTTTAGCTGGGATTATGATGTGCCCGAAGACTAAAACAACAGATGGATTGGAAAGTCATTTCCAGGTGAACTACCTCAGTCATTTCCTCCTCACTCTCAAGTTGCTTCCTATCCTCAAGAAAACTGGGAAGAATGATCATCCTTCAAGGATCATCAATGTTTCATCATGTTTGCACTACCTTGGATCACTCAATTTTGCTGATCTCAATGCTGAGTAAGAGATGCTGATGTACCAACAGACAGAAATCTGTTATTTATAAAGGAAATTCCACGACTAATCCTTTCCTTTGATGTATGTCATACTATAGGACACATTATTCTCCTATCGCTGCCTATTCCCAAAGCAAGCTGGCTTTGGTTGTCTTTGCAAGATATTTGGAAAGGCAACTTCAGGATGAAGGAGCAACAGTTCATGTAGATGCTGTTCATCCAGGAGTAGTAGCAACCAGTCTTTACAGACATATGTGGCATTTCAGGATATTTCCTGTTGTGGCATGGCTCTGTAGAAAAGTGAGTTGACAATTATTCCATTACCATATGTCTATGTGCTGTGAAAACAAAAAATCCTTGGTTGAGTGTGTTCCATTCTTCAATTTATCAATAGATCATGCATCATTACTTTGCAAGAAAAGGGAGTACATTATAATGCTAGAGAAAAATCTAGCATAAAGCTAAAAAAAATATTGGAGAGTGTGCACACTGTAACCTTTGAAAAAAAAAACTTTTGAATTCCCTGAAGATATGGATGGTTATGAATGGGTGGGTGTCAAGCTGTATTGACAAGCTGAGCAAGTTCAGTCCATCAGTAGGGCTTCTTTCTCTAAAGAGGGGTTTTTCAAGGGGTGCTTAACCCTAAAAGCGGCAAGGTGACACCCTGTGGCGGGTGAACTGTTGATCGATCGGCAGTTGCCACTTCTAGGGTTAATATATCTCGGCAACTTTCCATGACCTACTAATAATTTTATTTTTTATTTTTCAAATAGGACTGGCTCTTGAAAAATTCTTTTGAAAGTTTCATGAAATATTCTGATTGGTACAGTTTTCTTAGTTGTTTGATGCATCATCTTGACCTCTGCTCTTGAGCAACATAAAATCAGACCAATAGAAACAAAGCATCCATGATTTAGTAGCTCTGGTGGCTGCTGCCATGACTTAATGGCCAGGTAGGTTCATGCCAAGGTATTTATACAGTGCAGGCACTGGGGATGCATTTCCCATCTTCAAACCATTTACTATTGGTTTAATCATTTTTCTCAAAAAGTGAAAATATTATTTTATTTAATATTCATAATTTAAAAATTTATTTGCATTCAAAATTTCAGTCATTTGTTCTCCAACACCAAAGCCTCTGTGCTGGTTCCATATTCAAGTTATTATTTATGCAGCCCACCCTGCACCTGCTGGGTACAACAGTACCCTATAGCAGTGCTTTGCAACTGGTGTGCTGCAACAAAGTCCCTGATGTGCCATAGTATTTCCAAAATTAAAGGAAAAGAATGAACATCACTGTGTTTTATTACTCTCAAGCTACGACCGACGTTTGTCTGTCAAATTGACTAGTGGGTGATGAAAATATTATTCACATTGACATTGTGAAATTTGGCTCGGTATGTGGTGAGCATTGAACAAACTCGAAAGTGTGCAGTGAAATAAAATAGGTTGAGAAGCACTGCCCTATTGTACATGCACAATCCACTACAACCTCTCACAATCTGGTTGGTGCTGGGTACGTGCAGGGTTCCTGTTCGAGATTTTTCAGCCTTACTGGAAATAAGGTTGGGGTTAACCATGTAACAGCTCTAGTACCTTTGGTTTAATTTAAGGCCTTGGTGACTTACACTGATTAGGTAAGGTGCCGTAAGTGCATACCCAGGCTCAAAGCCTCTGATAGTTTTCCATTTTGAAAGTGTGATTAATATGCTTAACACTTTCGCTGCCATACAAGCCACCAGTGGGTCATAAAGCCTCTCTTCTCCTGGGTCATATGAACCACCGGCAGGTGGTACAGGTATCTTCCACTGAATCATACAACCCACCAGTGGGTTATTTGGATTGCTTTGCTTGATGTGATCTATTGGCCTCTTCCTTTCATCTTACAAATATTATTGTCGCTTCCTGATGATGTGGATTATGCTTAGATCAAAGTCTCAAAAAATTGATCTAGTTATGAAGAACTCCCTTGAGCAAGACAGGCTATTTTTTCTGGCAGGAACAGGAATAACTGCTAATACCAAAAACCATGAAACTCCAGTTCTGAAAACTATGTTGCATTCCTCATTATTCAGAGTATTTATGGAGCTAACTAGTCACAGAATTTACATCTGAAACATGACTGATTACTGTTTAATTTTCCAACTTGTGCACTCTATATGGGAAAGTCTATCTTAGTGATAAGATGTTGATGGGTCAACATGGTCATCATACACAGTCATGAGGCCAAACCTCTTGTTGGGCTGGTTGACCATTATTGTCCATAAATGGTCAGAATGAACCATGTTGACCAGCCAACTTCCCATGTCCATCACTTGTGAGTCATGACATACAAATGGTGTGCAAATTGCAGGAAAAAAAAAAGAAAGTTGGCCTTATTGACAATATTAACAAGTCAATAACCCATCCCTATTCCCAACAACATAAAAATCGTGAGATATATAGTAAAACGTTTTAAGAAATGGGACTGGTTCAGAAATATTGAGTCTGTAATGTCTTCCCAGGTTATTTTAAGCAGGGCTGTTTTCTTATAAAATGTATGAGTACCATGACTATTTTTTTTTGCCTACCACAGATATATTGTAAGCACCACAATGATATTTATATCACCTGGTAGCTATCGCAAAGCTGTATGCAGTACATCAGACACCTACCTAATTTCTCTCAATAAGGAAAAATTCAGAGAGGTATTTACTTTTACCCCAGACCCCTTGGGGTTGTACATCTTATGGTGGGCTCCAGTATGGAAATGCAGAAACAATGTCCAACATGGTTGCAAAAGATGCTTATACGTGAAATGTGGTAGAAATGAGATGCTTCCAAAAATTAAGTTTTTACATTCTGTTTATCATTACCTCACTCACTTCACTACAAGAACTCCAAATGCCATGAACCAAGTCAATCAATGCAATCATTTGAAACTAAAAGGGTATGGCACAATACAGTGCCAAGCACAAGGGCCATGAATGCTCCCATCTCTGGAACACTAACCCCCTACCTATAATGTCATTTAATAGTGGGAGGCTCACTTTCGGCCTGTGTGGTTACTCAGAGGTTACACCCCTACATTTGGTTTTCACCACTGATCCCACATCTAAAGGTGGGATTGCCAAATGCTCAGAGGTCTTCCTTCTCAACCATGCTATGTACATGGAAATTAATGCCTGATTGACCCAGTTGATTTCAAACACTGGTCTGCTACCAGACAAGCCAAGCTCACTCTCAACTATGCCAGTCATCTCCTTGATTGGGTGTAAGGTTGGAAAACTGGAGCTATTCTCCCCAACATACTGAATTTCTCAATTAGCCATGGTGCTTGTGAAACTGTCTTTTATTCCTCTCCATGTCAGGTTCCAACATGTGCAACCTGTTTGCCGATGTCTATCTTAAAAGTGAATTATAGTTGCAATTTGAGTCATTCCTCCAAATGGAGCACAAAATGGTAGAGGAACAGTTTGTTTTTTCTTTACAGGGAAAGGAGGCTAACTGAAAATAAACAAATGAAAGAATGAAGACAAAATACATATAGATATCCTTTCATTTCTACAGAGGCCAGAACATTGTGCCCTTGATGTCCTGGAGCCTGCATTAAACCCAAGTCTGAAGGCAGGAGGTGGAAGATACTTGGAAGAGGGGGAGGTGGTCACTCCTAAGGCCATTGCATGTGACACTTCCATTCAAAGGGAACTGTGGAACATCTCATGTCAGCTCACTGGACTTGAAAAGTAATCAAGATCCATCATGATAAAAATGTTGGCCCTTAACAATAAAATTTTGCCAAATTGGGTTATGCCATATTTCATGACAGGTTCTTTAGGATGTTTAGTTATATTGAACTGAATAAGAATGAAAAACACCATGGCTTCAAAATTCATTTATTACCACATGGAGATCCAGATCCAGGCTCATCACCACAGATTCAACAGGCTAGTCAATGGAGGGCAAAAAAGTACTTCAAAGATATCACCCATAACCAAGTGAGTCAGTGGATAGACGACAGAGGTAGGCAAATCAAATCAGATCAATCTCTGGTTTTCTAAAAAAAATTTTTTTTTAGGAATCATGAATTATGATTTGAAATCACAAGCAAAGTATGCAGGTTACATGCTACTGGAAAGGGAAATGGAAATTTAAAATTTTGTTAGGATGACATGGGAATGGTATCTCTATCTCTTATGCTTGAAATAATTTTCTTGATTTGTATCTGTGATTTGCCCACATAATATTGATCAGATTTCAAGCAAGTAATAAGAGTACAGGTATCACCATGTGTGCTCATAAATATAAGTATCTTGCAAATGGGTCAGGTGAGGAGGATCATCCTTGCTTTCATGCTTGGCAATGATGTGCTAATAACTTCCTGGAAGTAAAAACTTAGTTTTAAATATTTGGTCAAAATAGTAATAACTTACTAGTGAAATCCACTGTAGACAGTGTATCTGAGCAAAGTTAAAGCCATAAATGACATTACTTTTGAGCCAATCAATGTAAACAGCCTATCTAACTCCATGCCAAAAACCTGATTGCATGAAATCACCATTGCATTAAAGCAAGAGCCATCTTTCAAAATTTCCATTGAACTATTTGACCTGAAAATCAACCTCCACTCCTTCACTGAATAGTGTCATATGCATAGCTGGGAAGCAATGGAGCATAGAATTCATTATCATGAAGTATGGTGTTCATTTTCCTCTCCTCTAGAAGTTCAACTGAAGAATTATTTTATAGATTAAAGGTTAAAGATTTCCCTTACAAGTTTATGGCAAACTTTTTTTCTCAATTGTTAGCCACTTTGAAGTTTTGCACCACCCCACTTTTGTGTGCAGTAACGGTTACCTGAAAACCAGTCAAAACTGACAGAAGGCAATAAAAAAAATATATTGTCCTGGGTGTTGCACATAGATAGCCCTAAACAAGTGGTACACAACCTTTTCCCCTAGAGGGCCAAATTGAGATTTTAGCTCATGTTCACAAAAATTAGCCATATATATATATATATATATATATATATGGAATCTTCATTCAATTTTGATTCTATTCAACCCCAATTTCTTGCTTCTGTCATACGATGGTGAAGAACTTGATTCATTTATCACAGCCGTGTGTTTCACGCATGCTTCACATTTCATGAGGCTCATGATGAATGTGTTACCTGTTCAGGGGTTTCGAAAAAGATTAAACATTCAGCTTGTAAGATGAAGCCCTCTTTTTCAAAGCTTTGACCACACAGCAAATGCTAATACTCAAGGATTGATTTATTTCAAAACGTGGAATGGCCTGGAAACTCTCCTGATCTGAATGTGGCTGAGAACATTGGGATTATCTTGAAAGATCAAGTTGAGGCTCTCATGCATATGGAAAGCAAGCAGCATGGATTCTCCCAGGAAGCCTTGCAAAGCAACATCACCAGAATGTTGAAGGACATGGAAGATGACACTGAACTCTTTAAGTGTCTCTTTTCACCTTACCCTACTCATTTTAAAACTGTCAAAGATGCATTGGGGTTAACAAATTATTAGCAGAACATGTTTAGATGCAAAAATTAATGTTCTTTTTCATAATGTATGTGTTTTTTCCTAACTAATAGTTTAGGCTTTGGGGATGGTGGGGGGGGGGGCTATCTATGTGCAACACCTGGTATTGCCATGAGCCTGAAAGTCAAGCTGCAAATGGGCAAAACAGAGCTTAAAATTGTGGGAAAGTATGAAACATGGTTCATCACAAGAAAACTCATTACAATAATCTCCATTCCTTTTTTCTAATAGAAAAAAATGAATTAGTTACTGTAACCAGGTACCTAGTCATGTCTAGCCAAATGAAACTCTACACCTTAAGTCCAAAAAAAAACAAGTCACAGTAACATATTACATTTACTCAGTTTTGCTCATCATTGCATGCTTTGGGGTGTGGTTACTCTTACTGCATTTGAATAGAAACATGGGAATGGTGGGAATTGAGTGTTATCCACTTCAGCACACACAATGATGAGTACTTAAGACTTTGGAGTGAGACAAGATTTTGTACAACATCCATTCTCCAGGGGTGCAATGGAACTGATTCCTAAGCTTAAAAAAAGAATATTGAAAGACACAGAAGAAAGTATATATCAGCTGCAACACTGAATGAAATCACATGAGCAATCTTTGGTAACCTTCTGAAAAAGCTGCCCTAAGACAATAAATAGGGCCTAAGAATATGAATAAATTTTCACAAGAGAACATTATCACAAGATTGGACATACTAATTAAGGCCTGGAATGTTATTTTTACCCAAACTTTCTTTTGGAGAAGAAAACTGAAACTGCACAAGACTAGTGGCTTTTTTGACCTCAAGCTGCAAACCTTACAACTGTTCTTCTCAAGAACTAGTGACTGACAAATACAAGTGCAAGTACCATTAAATACCAGTACAAAAAAAATTAACAAAGAAATCAGATGCATCTGACATGGCAGATTTCATGAATTCCATGAAAGAAGAACATGAGTTATTATAGACTCTTGTAGAGAAGGGGTAGCTGCCTCTTCTGGTGGAATAGGAATATGTTAGCATGAAAAGCTGATTCAATGAAATTGTGCAAAAAACCTGAATGTTCTCTATGCTTTGCATAGAAAAATAATCACTGAAAGAATACAAGAAACAGAGACAGTTAAGCATTTCTGAACCAAGTTCATACATGATTATCTGCAAGATAAATGAAGAATTTGAGTGGAAAGCTTTTCATGACTCATAGGCCTATGAGATCCTGCAGTTGCATATCTTCCAATTCCAGATTGAAAGACCAAAATAGGAATCATCAGCATTATAGACACACAAGTGTCACAAACAGAACATGTTGCATCATGGAGGCATTTTGGAAAGGAATTTATAAGTAGTCTTTAAGAGCAAAATAGGTTGTTACTGAGATTATTAAAAATAGTGAAATCTCAGAAATGCATATTGCAGCCTGAGATCATCAAGGGCTCTCAAATGACATCCCACTCAATGAAAGACAGAAGTTGGTTCGTTCATGAGAGTCCTTCAGAACCTGAAGGTGCAATACATATCCATATTTCATAACCCATCAAATGAGTACCGCTATTCCAAAGATGTCATGTATGAGGTGGGAAAGGGGTACATTTCTGCAAAAAGAGTATTTAAGTGATATCAAACATGGAACTCAAACAGTAAGATGAAGAGCCTCCTGCTAAATCAAAAACAACACGGAAAGAAGGCAGCAATGAACATCAGTCAAGATAACCTAGGGCAACATGATGATGGACTTCTGCTCACAGCTTCAGAAGATGCAGGCATGATTCTTTCTCCTCTACTGTACTTGGACAGTTCATTGGATTTTGCATCCTGAAGAGAAATAAGCCCAAAAGCTTCAAAGAATAACAAAAATTCAACTATTTTCTTGAAGTTTCAAGAGGGAAAAATGGGCTAACTTGGGTGAGCTCAGTTGCAATCTCCATGAAGAGCCGTTCAACATTGTCAGATTCCTTGGCTGATGTCTCCAAATAGTACATGGAATTTCTCTGTGCAAATTCTTCTCCCACAGCAGTGGGGACTTCGATGTCATCTCTATCAATCTTATTCCCTGTAGAAAGCCCAATCACTTAAACAGCTTTGCAAAAGAACCTGACAATCATATGTCTAGAATATTGATCTTTCAATTAAAAAAATATCCCATATTCACAAATCATGCTTACCATGCCTTACCATGGCCTTCAGTTTCTCATTGAACATCACTTTTGAATATAGAGTAATTTTAAAAATAAACTCATACCATTGTCATTCTTTTATGCTAGACCAAGCCAAAGAACCTCACTCTCAATAAGAGACTCACATATCCTTAGAATCAAAACATTGCACAATGGGCCAGTGATGCACAAAATCATATTTGTCCCATGAAATGAAAGTCAGGGATAGTTACCCTCATTGATGGAAAACAATTGAAGAGGCAATGACATTCTGGCAATACTTATTTTCATCACTAGATAGCACTCTAGTGGAGAAAGTGTCTGTGTACTTTTTGATGGTTGATGTCACATTTTAGAGAAGTCATTAAACATGATGGTTGAAGCTCCATGTAAGATGATATTGGTATTATGAAATTGCAAAAAGTGGATGCCATCACGATGATCAACTTGCCTTGCCAGTTATCATACTATTATGATCCTTCCATTACTAGTAGAAAAAATAAGTTAGTCCTTAGCTTGAGTAAAATCCCTAATTTTTCTGTAGGAAAATGACTAAAAGTTTAAATTCCAAAGTCATTCTGCAGAATTTGGTTTTCAAACTAGGATAATGCAATATTAGCTAGCATAGTTTCTTGCAGATTCTCTGGTTACAAGTGTAATTGATATGCCTACTTATCTGAGATTTTTACATTCTTGCTTCCTCCCAAGGATCACTGCTATAGTGAGGAGATATCTACAACCAGATGAGGGATGCAGGAGGAGTCTTGATTGAGAAAGCAGTTAAAACAAGCTTGATGGTTCGTTTGGGTCATTAAAATTTTGCTTGGAACAGCCAAAAAATCATTTGAATCTAGCTAAACATGTTCTGAAAGCAATATTCAACATTTTCTTTTCATTTTCAAATAATATCGCTGATGTTTGATTTTTGCACAAGTTTTCACCATTCCAGCCCTCTGTGCATTGGTATGGTCTTGGAAAATTTTCAGTTTTCCTATAAAAATCAAACTTGATTAAATATATATATTCCTGAAGGGTGAGGGAGTCCTTTTTTTATCTTGAGAATGCAATCCTTGATCGATTATGAAAAAGTCAGAAAGAAGATATACATGTGCCCAAATGCAAATGCCCCCTGATGGTCCAAAATTAAGGACCCAATCTTGCATATCTAGAAATACAATATCCTACAAGAAACTAGCAGAAAATTTACTGGATTTCACATCCAACATTTGTAGGCGATTGCATGAAAGTTGAAATGAAATTGGTTGTTAAGAACCAAAGTAATGGTTTTTATCCCCATGTGATGTCAATTAATTGCATATGTCTGTCTGCACCTGCCTGCTTAGCTGGACTAGGCTACAGGTCAAGTCTCTCATTTCTCTCCAAGTTTTTTTTTCCATGGTGCATAATGTACTTACACTAAAGTGTCCAGGAACAAATTCAACTGAACTGACAAGCTGAATGATCCTTAGTATCAGGAATCACACTAGCTTTTACAAATCTTGAGTCCTGGTGCCTAGCTTCAGATCAGTGGGAACATGTTCAGGTGGTTGTCAATGAGTCCCACAGACTTGTGTTTTGCAAATTTGGGTCCCTCCAAGAAAATATAAGCCAGGGACCCACTATAGCAAGTTAATGTGAATTCTGCTTAGAATTGATAAGAGACCTACAATACAAATTAAACTCACCAACTAGGACACGAAGGACTTTCGGACTTGCATACTGCTCAATTTCCTTGAGCCAAGTGGGGAGGCAGTCAAAGGAAGGCTGTGAACTGACATCAAATACCAAAATCAATGCATGTGCAGACCTGTAATAGCTTTGTGTGATGGACCGAAATCTCTCCTGCCCTGCAGTATCCCAAATTTGAAGCTACAAAAAGGAAGAGCAACATGATTGATGAAGCAAACATTGTTGCAGAAAGTTAATTAGGATTTCAGCTTTACAGTTGCAGTGGTGGTATTCACTTTACAATAAAACTAGAATTTCCTCTTGATGCCAATACCTTTATCTTCTCTCCATCGATGTCCACAGATTTTATCATAAAATCCACACCAATGGTTGCTCCTTGTCCAGGAGGAAATAGACCCTGTATTTGTGCATCAAAAAGCAGAAATTATACGCATATGAGCTCCAATGAAAATGAGGCGTTGGTCCGACGACTTAAATGCAACCTGGGCCTACCTGTGTGAAACGACGAACGAGGCAAGTTTTCCCGACTCCAGCGTTTCCTATCAGTACAACTTTGAATAGATACTTATAATCCTCCATTATAATGGATCGTGTGGGAATAGGGAGCCGATGTGGTGGAATGGGTTAACGTTACCAGCCATGGCGCTGAGTCATTATTCATGCTCACTCACTTGTCACGAGATCTAAGGATCTGCCCACTACTGGCATTCGCATATTTTCCTATGGACGACGCCATGCTCATCAATGACAAGAATCAACATGGCGATTCACACAGATGGAGCCGCTGATGTACGAGGCCCTTGCATTGCGTTGTTCCCTGACTTAGTAAAAGTCTAATATTTCTACTCGCCTCAATGTGCCCACTCTCACTGGGAAGGATGCTCCAACCTTTGTGTTACAGGCATTTCATTTGTCATGCGCGCAAAAATTGTCGCAAAACTATTGCAATAGAGATCTCGTGGTAGCTACCTAGAAAGAATGTTCTTAAAATATTCTAATGGCATTACCACACAGCAAATTTACGCATCCATGAGCCAAGGTCCATCTGGCCATGATGATATAAAAGAGAGAGAACTTTGACCAGAAAGGATCCTGTCATAGCCCTGGCTTCAAAAGTCATCCCAATAAATTCCAAATTCTCAAGTTTCTCCCTCAAAGTCCCTGTCAGTGCTAACCCTAAAAGTACCATCAATTTCGAGGAATCCCAGGAAATGCTCTTGAATGTGATTCTCTTAACTAAGCAATTGACTCAACTTGTTGAGATAGTTGGCACTAAGCAGGTTCAAAAATGTGTCAAAATTTTGTGAAACATAATAATCACATATAAAATGCATTGGGACATGCTAAATTTAGAAAATAATCACATATAAATGCATTGGGATGTGCTAAATTTAGAACCAAAGCTGATGTCCTATGGTTTTCTGGTTTTTGTCAAACAACATGTGCCTTGCATGGGCTGATTTGTCTGCTGAACTTGACTAATGCTATTTCCTATTTGCATTTGTGCTGTTAGGGGCCTTTCACAAATTTCATAATGTGATTTGTAAACTTTTTTGACCCCCACCCAAAAATTATGCGACAAAATATGACCCCCCCCCTCCTTCATAATTTTTTAAATAATAAGATAAATAAACAAGTAAAGTGCAATTGAAAAAGAAACTCATTTATTAAGTGCCCATAACTAACACTGGATTACACACACAGGGAGATGATTAAAAGTGTTTTAAAAATGGAAGTAAAAGTTTTTTATTTCATTTGGTTCCTTCTTCAAGGAAATAATTTTCCTTTGTATATGTTCATTTTGATTGATGGTGATCACCCATTTGAGAGTAAGGGTGGTGGGTGCAAGTGGGTAGTAGGGTTGGCTCTGTATCATGTGAGTGATTTGTTGCTAAACAGTTACCCTTCTAATAAGGAATTCCAGTCACGTAATTGATTGATTTTTATGAGAAAAACCTGTTGTGTCACATTTGTGCAACCCCCCCTGTAACAAATCGTAACACTTTCTCTGACCCCCCCTCCTTCCCCCTTTGTGTTATGTTATTTGTGAATGGCCCCTTACCACCTTTTAGTCTTCCCAATTCAAAATATGTGCAATATTAGGCTGTATGTTGCCTTTTCCCCCATTTAGTCTCTGAAGATATTTATATAACCTAGCTTACTGGCAAGCCTTACTTAATTTTACTTTGGCTTTTAAACAAGGCCTGCTAATGCAATAGAAAAATATTCCAGTAGATAATTGAAACTTTGTTTGAATGTAGGTATATGCAAAATAAAGAATTCATTCTTCTGGATAAGCTCAGATCTTGATCTTGGCCTAGTAAGATGCAGTTTATGAACTGCAGTGATTGGAGTTTCATTTAGGCCTACTGTGTGAAAACGATAGCTGTCCTGTGTAACTGGCAGCTGGATGACTTGAAGATGGATGAGGATGGAAGTTCAAACTTCTTTGAGAAGAGGAATAGATTGCTGCAACAGCTGTTGGCATCAGAAGAGAAGGTAATTATCATATGTATTTCAACAGTGTTGTTGATGTACGTAAGGAATGCTTATTTTTATGCTTCTATTTGGTGCAGTATTACTTATATTTATTTCCAGGTTAGTACAGTAATTCTGATAGATGTGATTGATTTTTGCAATGCCCCTACATCCTTCTGAGTGGCACCAAATGTCATCTAACTACACTAAATCTGTCTCATAATTACTTCCCCTGGATAAATCAGTGATAGAAGTTGAAGTTAAGTGATTTCAGCTTCTGCTACAGTAGGGGGATGCAATTAATTGAACTTCGCTGTGTAATATTACTTCTACTAGCATTGTACTTTTCATCAGCTTCCCTTGCAATGCTATATTATAGCTAAGATACTGTTACTATCTGACAAGATATTCCTCATAGTTCTTAGCAATCAATAGTTTGAATGATAAAAACTAATCATTGCATAGTTCTTTGACTGCTCAAACAGTCTAACCTATTACTGTCTTACCTGTTTGGCAGAGGACTCACTAATATTGATATTGATGATGTCTTAAGGTGTTAGAAATTTAAATTTCCGCTAGTGTCTGGTTTATCTCCTTGTGGGGAACCTCCAATGAGATAGATCTAGGTCTCAGAATGGCAGAAATTCCATGATTTGGGCCACTCTCCAGTTATCAGCCAGTCTTTTACACCTCTCCTAATTAATTCACCAAGGGAACAGGATTAATGGGGCATGAATGGACAAATAAAAATGTATACAACCTAATGATTGTCAAGTTGACAGGACCCAGGCCAGTTGACTGCACCAAGTGCTAACTTTTACTGTTTAAAAAGTTCTTTAGATTAATTTCAAATTCAGGAAGCTAAGGTACTCTGTATCAGATCGGACAAGCAGTGTATCTTAAGTGTAGGGAAGGTGGACTCCATTAAGACATCTTTCTAGTGATTAACTGGGCTATTGACTTCCCTTCCATTGAATAGCTGTCTGATTGCCAAGGATACTGCTTAAGTAGCAGAGAGCATTGATCTGAGACACCCTTTTTGTAGTCACCATTGTTGGTGGTTGCCTAGTGAATCAACTGTCATCATTCTGAGCCAACTATGAACCAATGTTCCTCACAGGATAAGGGCTGGAGGGAGCTATAGTTATTAAGTTTAAAATATGGGTGGAAGAGAAATGGAGTGCTTGACCTTTTTTATTTCTACACCTTCTCCCTCTCAGGTTTGTTAGAATCCTTCAGTCCAGTAGAAATTGATAAATGATCAAGCTTTGCAGATTAACTCACAACTAGGATGAATAAAACAGACTGCATAGGACAGGAAGTAAATATGACAAGGCAGCAGTGGCCAGGTATTTAAGGCTCACCAAACCTTCTTTTGCAGCTTAGGGAACTGAGAAGTCAGCAGTCTGTTTTGGAGAATCTGAGGAGGGAGGCTGAACAGACCCTTAGGAATAGTCAAGCCATGGGTCCACTTAAGACCCCATCCATGCAGCCATCAACTCAACATTCAATGCAAACCTCATCTCTTGTATTGAATGGAGGAGAGGATGAAGATCTTCGGCAACAAGTTGCTAATCTTCAAGAGCGTCTGCGATCTCTGTCTGAAATTACAGCTTGCTCAGAGAGAGCTAATTGGGTATGATTCCCATCTTTATTCAGCATTTTCCCATCAGGAAGTCTTTGCCTTTAGGCTTGTGTAGAATAGCATTCACCTTTATTATATTTAAATTTTTTGTATTTCATCTGTCTCGTCAGAATGATGATACTGGGGAGACGTTGGAGGTTCAGCGAAAGTATCAGGAACTGGTACGGAAGAAGGAATACATTGATGGTTTGATGGATCAAATTGGAAATTTTCGCAAGGAGTGTTCTCCATCGCAGTCAAAAGGTTCTCTATTCCATCCATTTTCTATTTATTTGGATTCAATATATATATTTGCATAGTTTGTGATTTTTCTTGGTAGTCTTTGAAGCATATTAGGTTGACCTGCTGATTCCATGTTCCCATCTTGCCTGTCTTATTCATCTTTATCTGGATTCATGGAAGAATTTCATTATGTTCAGTATGCTATCAGTAAGAAGTAACATTCTGTTACAGGAGTCAAAGATACTAGAATTCAACATTTTATCTCTGACTTCTAATCATGGAAATTGACAGTTGAGAGGACAAAACAGTGGAAGTGGCACTTTAATGGTTCTGGATGGTGTTGAGAATTTTCTCAGGTTTGCAAGAATAATTAACCATATCATTATTTTTCTTTTCCTGTTACCTTTATTCTTCCTTCCTCCTGAACATCAAGATTCCTTTTATGTGTTCACTGAAATGTAGTCATTTAATAGAAATGCACCTGCTTCTGGTTCATTTTTCTCTCTAACTTCAAACCTATGAAGAAAGTCATTGTATTTTTGCATTCTGGCGTTTGAGCTTGTTTTTTCACCTGTAGAGTTCAAAATTAGTTGAAAAAAAAAGAAGAAAATGTATCTTTTAAGAGTTGTTGAACCATGAAACTATTACCTTTAAATATCCCAGAGATTGATCTAGAACAGGGGTGCACAACTCAAAAGACTATGAGGGCCACTTACAATTTTTACTCACCTACCATTGGCTGCAACTACTCCTGTGACTTACTTCCATTGCTGTGGCCAAGGCAGGACCCATAGTAGCACAATGCCACTAGTCGTGGCAGGCCTTGGGAAAGGGCCTTGTGGGCCATATGTTGTGCACCCCTGATCTAGAAGGTTTCGTTTTAGATTGAAGGCAATTGAAAGTTGCTCTTAAACCACTATCTCAGAAATACTATATTTTTTAAAGTGATTAAATATTCAGTGCACTGGCCTTGACTTGACACTACATTACACATGATTCTAACGTGAGTTATAGCATCTGTTTTTTTTTTGGAATGAAAAAATGAAGCATAATTCTATGTGAGCCATGTGTTAGGCTCCAGTAAAAAATTTTTTGGAGTAGGCAAGCCTCTGCTGGAAGTGTACAAAGCTGAAGGGGTTGCAGCAAGAAAAAAAAAAGCAAAAGTAAAGGCCCAATCATGAAAATACCCTACATTGATATTGCCCTACCAGTTAATTTAGTATTGACCCCCTTCTTGTCTTGAATGACAGCCTGAACCTGTCCTAGTCTCTAAAATTCTATCAGCATGCCCACAAGTCTTCCATTGTGCCATGAAAATAACCCCCAGACTTTCAGGATGGGCTACAAGCAGTGGTATCTTGACTGGACTTTCCTGTGAAATTGCTACCCAATTATCATGCTTCTTTAGAAGACTGTGAGTCTGATCATGCTGTGATCTTGCTCTTAACTGATGTTCCAGATCAAGGGCATTCTTTATATACCTGCTGCTAGGCTGTCACATGCTTACTGAGCCTCACAATGATGTTACACCATATCAAGCATTGTTTGTATGGGCATTCACGTTTGGCAATATATGATATACTGTATGTGTAGCAGCTAATTTCATTTTTACTGCCTGTGCTTATAAAATTGACCATCACAAAACCCAGAATTCACTTTTACCATTTCTAGAAAAATGATTTTTTGGAATAAGAGCAGAAGAGACATGTAATATGCAACATCTGAAAATAGGAAAGAAACTTTAAAGTTCATGGTACAGAGGACAGAGAGAGAATGTCTTGTCTGTAACTGATAAAAGACAGGAATACCTTTATTGAATGGCCACTTTGTCATGTACAGCTTCCAAAAGGGCAGTGCTTGTAACTTTAACAGCATATATGAAAATAAGGAACTGATAATCATCCATTCATGAGGTTATCATTCTGTTGTTACTTTTAGTATCTGGTTGGGCCAAAGTTGTGGCCTAGTTTTTCATATTTTTGAGCTGCTCTGGTTACTTCATAACTTAACAGCATGGTTTACTCTCACAGGCATAGGACAGGGCATGGGCCATGCTGTTCCCGAAGAAGATCGTGACCGAGTGCTGCAGCGACAACAGGTGCACACCAACATGCATGCCATGTATTATCCTGTAGTAAGTAGAACTTTTGTGCCCCATTAGATTTGGATTCTAAGCCTAACATAGTTGAACCCTTTTTCCATTTAAATTTCCACAAGTAGAACTGCTGAGTCCAATGATTTTTGTGCATGGAGAACATTTTTATTTCCTTATATGAAAATAATAGCACATTACAATTCACATTAAAGACTCAAGATTGGTGGGGATGGTTCAAGGACAATAATTCTGTCATGTGTGATATCTCTTGAAGTTCTCTTTGAGGTGGAGGCTGCTTAATTCTTTTCTCCATTTCCATCAAAATATCCTGCATTTCATGATGTATGTGGGACACTTTTATGAGGATAAAAAATATAAAAGAGTTACATCATAATCATTTGTTGAATATACTGCTTTCAAGGTGTTTGTGTGAGTTTCATCAGTGACACTGAAATTCAAGGAGTGGAAGCAGGTGAAATTTTGTGAGAAACAATTTTTCCCATCCCTGAACTGGTTCACCTTCTTTGTGCTATGATTTTATAAAACTGTGCATTAATGTCCTCACCTTACAATTGCTTAGATGAAACATCCAGGGATTTTTTTAAGCACAATCCCCTTTCATATTCAAAGGTGTTCAACTGGTACTGCCTCTTTGATTGAGAGAAAGATTATATCGATGATAAGCCCAGATCTTAATGCCTTCCAACAGCAGCACCTCAGCCAAACATTGAAATTGAGCATCTTATTGATGTAGATACTCCATGTGGTTCATCTTTGATGAGGAACTTATTTTTTAACAGTGACTGGAATTATTAACATTTTGACACTCATTGCTTCCAGAGGGCACCCACACAGTTACTTGCCCTTTGTTGTTCATTCCACTCTTGAAGAGGTGGTATCATTTGAATGCCATTGCATATGAAGTGACCTTGTAGTGAAAAGTTGAGACTTCTCATTCAGGCAAATATCAGATGAGGGGGCTCTCTTCTAGTTGTGGAAACTGGTGAAAAATCGCTGTTCACAAGATCTTCCTACCTAGTTCCACTCAAAGTGCTCTAGTTTCCTTTGTCCATTAACCCATTGAGCGGTATGGCTGTTCCAGTACAGCTGTGCGCTCCTGGTCCCGCAGGAGTGCAGCTGTACCAGTACATCCTGCATCTTTGAATTCAAATTGCCACATTTGTGCAGATGCCATCAGTTTGAGGTAAAAACTATTTATGTTCATAAAATTAAAAATTCTGAGCTGGAGCCCATGTGGGAAAAAAACTCACCCCTGGGGGCATAGCCAGTCAGAAAAATACTCACTGCTCAATGGGTTAAACAGGATGAAGCCTACTCAAGCAACTAAGAAGTCTATTGTGGACTTCTTAGTTCCATTCAATCAATGAGAGTGCTTGAATGAGTTTCCCTTGATTTATTGGGGGAAAGTCTAAAAACTTTCAGAGTGACTTATGTAATTGTTTACATTATGAGGCAGATGACACACTTGAGCACTGTAAGGGTTGATAGCTTTAAATAGTTATTTTGCGACCAACATTGGTTTCTGTCTGGTATGAACATTGAAAACAATATAATGATAATAGGTCTTACTAGATGGCATCAATGTCCACTTTGGCCCACCTGATAGGACATACAAATTTAGCTGAAAATCCTATCACCTGCACATTGGGACATTGGACTGGAAGAGGAAAATTGCACTATTGCACACAGTGGGACAGAGGACCAGAAAGGGTTAATAAACTATAACTGGACTGAAGTGTTGACTTTTTATTTGTAAGCATTGCAGTGTAATGGAATGTATTCACTGCCTTTGGCTGAGATGTGATTCACACTAACCTCACCATTTCAGAATAATTTCAGACTTATCATGGATTATTCTGAAAATTTTGTATTTTGTGTGGGTTTGTGCATGCTGAGATATTATGATTCATTTTCAAGGGAGCTGATGCAGGTGCATCTGGGGTACGAATGAAGAATCTGGCTGGACCCATTCAGGAAAAGTGAGTTTTACTCAATGATCATTGTTCTGTAATTAATAATCATGTTTGGATAGTGAGAGGCATTGAGGCATTCTCCTGCATATGTAGGAGGAGAGTGGAAACTTCTCGAAGTGGAGCCGGAGAAGATGTTCCCGATGATCAGGAAGTGGATGATGAATCTCTATATTACCAGAAATTGCAGTGAGTTACTTTGTAGATCTGTTGCATTGTGTAGGCAGGCAATATGTGCTGAACTTTTATATGATTTTTAAAAATCCCAGAGAGTTGGAAGAAGCCAAGAGTAGACTGCGAGAGCTACATAGTCTTCTTCAGCGTCATGAGCAACTTGCACCACATAGGGGCCTTGTAGAAGGGGCAGAAAATCCCACTCCTCCCCCAATGTCAGTGCCCCAGTCACAGACACCTGAGTTACAGCTCTCCATGTGCAAGTAAGCCACTTTCCATCTCATATTGGTTCTTTATAACTTGAATGGTGGTAGTCCAAATTCAAGGGTTCTGGCATATATGGTGTGCAGATGGTCCAAGGCCCATTGGTATCTCATAATCCTGATGCAGGCCCAGTCCAGGAGTAGTTCAGTAATCTTTGAACATAACTAACCTTTCATCTAGGAATTTTAAGGTGTCATTCAGTAATTATGTCCAAAATTTATATGTTTTGGAGTACCCTTCTTGCATCAATTTGAGTTTACTCATTATGACTCTGCAGGTGTTATATATTGCATACCTTTGCCAAAATTTTCTCTTAGAATGTGTCATTTTGAATTATGCACTGTTTTTAGTGGGCCTCCTTTCCTGTAAGGAAAGAGACCACATATGCTCCCATCCTGTCCATCTGTGTGTCACACTTTGGTTGTCAATGATAACTAATAAAGTACTGGCCTGATCAATGCGAAAATTGGCAAGCGGGTAGATATGAACTAGAAACAGGCTGAGTTCATTTTGTGGTGAATTCACACAAAAATTAGCATTTTTATTGCAAGTTTTGGATGTGAAATTTGGTCTTGGAGGGGAAGGCATGAGTACCCATGAGCCCTTCAGGTTCTGGACTACAATGTGCATGTATGTGCAACCCAGGCTTTGGGCACAGCACTGTGTCAGGAACCAGAACTGTCAGTTCCCTGCCAATTGTCATGGCGGATGGATTCAGCTGTGCACAGCCCTCCATCCTCCTATCATCTTTTCGTGGGCACTGTTTGTCTATGTTTACCAAATATAAAAGAGAAATTAGGTTTTTGATGGTTGAAGACCAGAAGATGACATTTTGTTCAATTAGGTGAAAAAAATGAGGGTTTCCTTAACTGAAAGGAGATCCAATACTGGACTGGGCTTGCCTAACTTGTTGAACTATGACCTCACAATTACCTCATCAGAATACTATCAGAAAAAAGCTATTTGAAAGTGTTGCTGTCCTCTGAGGTATTAGGAGTGGCAATAGTATATGTTTGTTTGGTGACTAGTAGGAGCTGGTGTGGCTTCACTATGCTGCAAGGGAATCATTATTAGAGTCAAATGGCATGACACATGATGTGACATCTTGTTACACCATTTTGACAATTGCTTTCATACCTTCCTATCACCCAAGCATTCTACTGATATGAATGACAATTTTGTGGGAGCTGAAGGAGGAGGAAAAGAAACAAGGCAAGAAAGACAGATGGGCTCTGTTGATGGGAAGGGTTACATCTCACTTACCTAATCAGCTTACAATTGTGTCATTTTTACAGGGGACATGGGAAGGGAGTTGAAGGGATGAAATTTGGGAATACAGGAAAACCGAAGAATCTGGAATCCTCTTCACCTCGGACTCCACACAAGCCTTCAAATGTCATGGTTGAACAACAACAGCAACAACTTCAGCAGCAACCAAGCACAAGTTAGTTTCTTTTCTGTTTACATAATTGACAATGTGACTATGTATGCTCACATGTGAAGTTCTCTTTCCAGGTTTCAATGTGAATCATGAAGGTGGGGGAAATGCACGAAGAATGGAAGATATTGGTGCCTCTCATCCTGCTCCTGTTCCTTTTATCCCACATACCTCTCCTCTCTCCACCTTTCAGGTAGCCTTTACAGATAAATTGTACACAACTACCTGTGTCTATTGTAATGGGTAATGTTGTAATGGGTAATGAAGCAGAATGCCTTGTCTTCCTGAACAGGAGTGTGGATCAGTGATAATGCAACAAGTGCTTCTCTCCCTATCTCATTGTTATCAGCTTCTTTCTTGCCAACAAGCAAAAATCTCTGATTTGGAATCAAGGCTTCAACAGGTATGCCATTGCCTAAATGAATATCATTTCATTTTCTTAACTTCATGCTATTAAGTTTAGCATGTATTTCTTGTATCCACAGTTGGAGAGAGACCAATGTGTAGGAGAGGAGCCTATGCTGAACAATCGTGTAGAACCTAGCTGGAGGGCAAACAACTACTATGATAATCTTCGTAGTACTTCCTTCCAGAATGCTTTGAGTCGAGAGCCAGAAATGTTGCATAGAGATGCAAAGCGAGTTTCCCTTGCTCCACAGCCACCTTCAATGAGGCGTCAACTGCATCTCTGCAAGGATAATCTTCATCCCTCTGGTATCACTTGCTTCTCATCATTGCATTAATATATTTTGGAGAGTCATGTAAATCCATGAGGAGGGATAAGGAATACCTTCAGGTCTTTCCCCTCAACTGGATATATCAATAATTTCAGAAGTAGAGTGACATTGACTTGCCTGCAAAAAGGGGCAACTGCATTAGGATTCCAATGTTTCCAATATTGATGTTTGGCTTGTCACAGGAGTTGAATAATTCAGTCTGCAGCAAGGAGTCCTGCTGTTATACAGTTCTATTCAAAGTCAAACTAAGTTACTTTCTCTAATACCTTATTTGGTCCAAATTCATCCTGAACTCAGACATTCATAATCAATGTTTAAAATTGATAAATTTATTATTAGCATGCCAAGGATTGCCTATATCAATATTTACTGATTTCTGGAACATTGACCAATATCTGGTATGTCCTATAAATATTGGGACACTTTTATGCCTCATTACAAGGTTGAAATAAAGGAGCATCCAAGAGAGGAATAGTTGAGTGGGCTTTTCACATCTTTCTTGCAGTTCCTGTTATGGATGAAACAATTCACACCAAGTAGGCAAAGGGCTAACTCAAGTTTTCTTAGCCACAGCACTCTTTTCAAGCTGTAAAATACTGGTTGCATCCTTGCACATGCAAGTATCTTCATTCACAATTATGAAAGCCTAACTAAAATTGGGGAAACCAGGACCTCTAAGTACATTCATGAAAAAGGTTTGTTTTGCACTGTCACTTAACAAGGCAATCATAACAAGAAGCAGTGCTTCTTTCAGTAATGGATGTAATGTTTGGTAATTGAAGGACAAAACTTGCCACACATTACATCTTCAATCATTAGCATTATCCCTCTTTTACATCTATTTTATCTGTACTTATAGTCTACAGTGAAGCATATTGTGTCATGAATTTCACTGCACAGTGAATTTTCAACCTGTAGTTATTGGCTTAATTTTTTCAACTATTGCAACCTGTACAAAAAAAGAATGTGTCCATTGTCATACCTAAAGGTGTACAAATGTAATATAATCCACAAATTTATTTAATCGTCATTGCCCTTTAATTTAGGGAGTGGTTTTATGAAAGTTAATGTTTGAAGTTGCAAAAGTATGAGTTACAATTGGACATAAAGAGAAACTTGACATATCCCAGCAAAACCCAAAATATTTTGAGTTACTGAAGAAAAGTTTTTTACTTTTGCTATGTTATTTGTTACCTTGTTATTTGAAACACGTTTTGATATCCAGAAGTAAGAAACTTGAACATTTACTTATGTTTTTCCAGAATCTAATTGCCCAACTCATAAGGAAGGGGAAGGAAGGATGGGAGCTGTTGGAGGAAATGCAAGGGATGCCTTGGAGGCTGAATTACGGGCCCTTCTGAATGACAGTGCAGGTCAAGAAGATGTTTTTTTGGGATTTGTGCAGTCCCTTAGACAGCTGAGAATGGAATTCAGCAATGGAGGTGCTACAGCACCTCGCAATATTGACTCCCAATTAGAGGATAAACCCTCTCTCATGAATAGTGGAGCTAGGCCCAAGAACTCTCCATCTCGAAACTTTAAAGACAATGCTAGCCATCCTCAGAGCAAGCGAGGATCTGATGGAAATTCTCCTGGAGCAGCAGCAGCTGCTGCTGCTGCTGCTGCTGCTTCTGCTTCTGCTAGTATCCTTGTTTCAGAGAAGTCTGTAAGCATCCATTTTTCAACATCTATTCTCCAGATATGGTGTCCATGGATGGACTTTTGAGGCTTGACCATATGGATTTTGGTATGGGAACTTGCAGGATAAAGGTGAGAGAAAGTTGGGGAGTCTGATGGAATTCTTGGCCAGAAATCGGGAGCAAAGGGTAGAAGCAGTGATTCACCACATGGAAGAAATTCTAGGTGCACATGGCCTCCTCCAGCAGGCACTCAGTCAACTTACATCCATGAGGTAGCTTGATCTCTTTAAAGTACCCATCCCAGGATTCTACTTGTTTGACAACTCATCAACATCTGCTTTTCCTGTGTATTTTTTAGAGTGGGAGATGTTGAAGAGGAGCTGATACAAGTGTCTGTGAAAGTGTTGAGTCATGCAGAAAGAAGCAGCCACAAGATGTTTCACTTCCAAAACAGTTCCTCCTCTGGACATCATAATCCCAAAGTCAACTTCATGAAACACCTCCAGAAGGTCAGTTGTTTTATCAATTTCTTTAACCTTTTCAAGGCCCTCTATTGAGATTCAGGAATATGAAACACAGGGCTCAATGGAGGAAGACGATGAAGATGGCAGTGAGAGAAAATCTACTACACGTGTACGCCTACCTGGTTCTATGGGCCAGTCATCTTCACTCCTCAATTGTGAATCCCCTGGTCCTTCCACTGGAATAGGTCGCTATGGGCTTGAAAATGCCTCAACTGTGTCAATAGCTGGTAGCATGAGTAGCAATAGACCTCGTTCACCCATCAGTTCAATGGGTGGAGAAGAAGGAATGTCCGTGACTGGGAATCAGAGTGAGGCCCCATCATCCTCAGTGGCTGTGAATCACTTGGATGCCCGTAATAGTCGGAGCCTGCCCCGAAATCAGGTGAAACAGAGCATCTATCTGATTGGAAAGAAAGTTCTCGGAATTTCATGAACAATTATTACAACCCAGTTTATTTAAAAGCAAAATCATCTCAATCATGAATGTAATCACCATTGGCCTCTATCACTTCACGCCAATGTTTATGCAAACTATGGATGCCATTCCAATAGAACTCTGGTGGCTGCGCTACGAAAAAGTTGGCCAAATCGGTTTTCAGGTCGTCTTGGTTGGCGTACTGCTTTCCACCCATGTGATGGTCCAGGGCAACAAAAAGGTGATAATCGGACGGGGCAAGGTCGGGGCTGTAGGGCGGATGCGGCAGCACCTCCCAGCACAGGTCCAGTAACTTTAGATGAGTCTGTCTAGCGGTGTGCGGCCGGGCATCGTCGTGGAGGAGGATGGTTCTCTGTCTTTCTGGGCGTGTTTCAGCCAGTTTCTGCTGCAGCCGATCGAGTTGCTGGCAGTAGTAGGCAGCAGTGATGGTGGTGTTTTGCGGCAACAGCTCAAACATGATGATGCCTTTCGAATCCCAGAAGACCGAGAGCATAATCTTTTTGGGGTGCAACTCCTGACGGGGTTCTCTTTCGGCCGATGCTCCGGCGTCCACCCACTGACGTTTTCGTCGAATGTTGGCATAGAAGGTCCACTTTTCGTCGCCTGTCACCACTGAGTCTAGCCAATCCGTTCGGCGCGAACGTGACAGAAGGGAGATGGCCATGTCTACTCGTCGCTGGCGGTCCCGATCATCCAGCTTGTGGGGTACCCAGCACCCCAACTTTGCCTTCTTGCCAAGCTCAGCCAGATGATGAAGGATAGTTGTATGGGAGACACCCAGCAAGTCCGCAAGCTCTCGCGATGTTTGCCGGTTGTTGGCCTCCAGTGCCTCCTGCAAGGCAGAGTTATCAAACTCCGAAGGACGACCGGTGCGTGGCTGGTCTTCCAGGCTTTCATTTCCTTTCTGGAAGCGACTGTACCAATCATAGGCAGTGCTCTTGGACACAGTGTCCGGGCCAAACGCGGTATTGATGTCAGCGATGGAATTGGCTGCCTTCTTCTCGATTCAGAAGTCATAAAGAAGAAGCAGGCGAACTTGCTCCTTAGTAAGAGGGTAGGGCTGGTTCATGGCTGGAGAGCACCAGGGCTGTAATAATATACGGTTGTATGCCGAAGGACACGACCTACTTATAAACACACGCAGAACATTCTAGCATGCTCTGGAAAAAAATTGTACTGGATATTCAAGAAATTCCGAGAACTTTCTTTCCAATCAGATATCTCCTCATCATTCTATCCAATGCCATGCTTGCTCCATTCTTCAAGGGTGATCAAGTTATTGTTCACTTACAGTTGGGAAGTGGAGGTGTTTGTGACACAGCTACACCTTCCGAGGGAAATGAGACTCAAGAACTGGCTGAAGCTGATCAGTCTCAAGGTTAGTGTCACAATTCTTGTTTCCTTTTTTTTTACATCTCTATTATCATAATATCATAGAATTACCATCAATAATACTGCTGATGCAGAGTATGAAAACAGCATCATAATATTCATGGTAGGGTCAGCCACAGAAGGTGTTGAAGAAGAAGATTCTGTCAGTGAGGGTGCAGCTTGTCAGACAGAAAATGCCTTGCCTGTGAGTTTTTTATTGCCTTTGAGACCATGATCATGATCGACAGATTCTGATGATATGACACTATCTGATAGGAGGAGGAAGTGCTGCGAGGTCAACTGGGACTAGATGAGGTTCCAACTCGTCTTCACTCTAGCGTGGAAGGAGGAGAATCTTAACAGCATTTCTTACAACTGGCTTCAACTTGGTTTTCTTTTCCTACCAAAGCTTAGACAGGAAACCATCTACAAGTGGCTTATAATTAGGCTCTTTTTTTTTTCTTGGATTTTTTTTTTCTTCCCTTGGAATTCTCTCTGCTGCATGAATGACTTTGCCTGCAGCATAGTGTTCATTAAAGACATGTTGCATGCAATTTTCAGACTCTCAGATGCCAAATGTCTTGAATTGCAATTTCATTCACCCCTAGGTTTTTCATTTATCAAAATGTAGGGACTGCAAATCATCCTGAGGTAAGAATACATTTATTCTATACAAGAATTGTTCACAAAGGTGCTATTGTTAGTAACAGTAGCAGGCCTTTCATAGATATGGTTTTGGAGTCTGATATTTTTTTTGCTCTTCTTATCTGAATAAAGGGAAGTCTCTGTGTTGACACAAGAATATCTTGATGCAAGTGAAACCCATGAGGCTATAGATATGAATGCTGCCGGGATTAACTGGTACGCAATGGGAGGCACTTTAATCCCATCTTCATTGCTTAGTATTTATTATGCTATCCCAGGTACAAGGTTCAAGGTGTGGGGTGGGACGTCAAGAGGCATTTGTGGCCATAATGACATCCTGAGTTTAGACTATATTAAGGATGTTTCCAGTGTGAGTGATGCCATCTTGAATAATGTCAAGATGTCTTATCAAATTTCTCGCTTTTAAATGTGCTTTTCTCTTCTTTTAAATGTGCTTTTCTCTTTCTTGAACTAGGTTAATTATTTCTCTTCATGGCTTCTTCATTGGAAGAACAACCCAAGGCTAAATCAAGAGAATGGCGCAAAAAGGTGAGTATCCCCTTGGATCCGCTGCATCCCAGCAGAGATTAGGAATTTTTTTAACACATTCAATTGAAATGTCTTATACATCATGATTCTTGACACTTCCAGGAAAGCAACCATTCAAATCGTACACTCTCTTGCACATTGGTTGTTCTCTCCATGTTGGGAAAACTGAAAAAATGTTAAGCTTTGATCTAGAGGAGATATATGGGGCACTCAGAAATTTTCTGGATGTGACTGCATGAAAATGATCACACATGAAAGCTTTTCTACACCTTCGGCTCCTCGTGATACGAGACTGTGTGCAAATTTTCAAATATATACCTCGTCAGATATTTTATTTATGCCGTTTTATACCCTTTATACCCTGTATATCAGTAAGCCTTCTTTCTCTCGCAGTGGACCTAAGCCACGTGCACTTTTGTGATTTCCAGTGTGGCTTAATGCAAGAGCAGAACATTGCCAGGTTTCAAGGTGCATTTTGCGGGTGGTGCTCTGTGATCCAGCACAACGTTCTTCTGGTTTGCTTAATTTTGAAGGGAGTGGGAGTGGTGAGAAATGACAGATGAGCCTCGTACCAGAGGCGGATACAGAAATTTTTCATAAGGGGGGGGGGGGCGGTTCCCAAGTTTCTACCTACCTCCCCCCCTCCTCCCCGCCTACCACCATTCCTTGTCCTTTCGCCTTTTTTATTTTTCGTCTGGGGCAAGAACTTGAGTACCTATTTCACTGGCTCCAATAAAATTTAATGCAGATGCTATTTTGAATAAATAAATCAAATGCTAACCTGGCCAACTGTCATTTCTGGCTCCAATAAAATTTAATGCAGATGCTATTTTGAATAAATAAATCAAATGCTAACCTGGCCATAGGGGGGGGGGGGGACGGTCGGCCCCCCCCCACCTGTATCCGCCAGTGCCTCGTACCAAACAGTTTAAACAGGCCAGATGAAAAAACTGCCTGGCATGTAGGGTATGAAAATGTCATAAATCGAATGCTTGAAGAAGTATATTTCTGGTGAGACAAAAAGTACGCGAAGGCAGCTCGAATTTTATTTTGCGCAAGGAAACGGATCGACGGAAGAGTAGTTGGTACGCGTGGAGCGCACTAATCTCGAGCCAGATCTCCTTCCTCTTCCCATAAAAATGCTGCTCTTCGCGAAAGGATAAGGTGGGGCAGAATTGGCAAGATTTTCCTGATAACCGATGAAAGAAATTTAGGCCTATCGTGAAGTAATTGATTCACAAGCTGCGAGAAACTGGTTCATCTGAAAGGAAGCGAAGGAGCGGAAGACTAAAACTCGCCGGAACTGAAGGAAACTCCGTTCATGTGGAAGAAGTAATTCTTTCTCGAGATGAATCCTGAGATGCAAAATTCCCTTCTACAAATTACCAGACGCAAGGAAAAGTCAGAGACCTGCTTTGCGGATTCTGAAGTGCAGAGGAAAAAACCGTTGAAAAAAGTTGGTACTCCGAGTGAGTGGGGCAGGTCTTCCCGTCAGCGTCCAGGAGCGAGTGCAAATATAAAATTCCAGTTGCTTTTGTAAAATCAGTCGTGTGCTAAAACGGCGCGAGATAAACGGCCAAGTATTTTCGGATGCTCGAAAGCCTGCGTAGAGGTGAGTATGAAGGAAACTTAGTTGTTTTAGCCGCTGTTTCAGAGGCGCCACAAAATTTCAAAGAACGGCGCGGTTTTTTTTTTTGCCTTACCCGATATTTTAAAATTTGCACAGTCTCATATCACGAGGAGTCGAAGGTGTAGAAAAGCTTTCATGTGTGACCATTTCCATGAAGTCATATCGGAAACTTCCTGAGTGCCCTACAGATGAGGAAGGTTTTAAGGGTCACCTTGGCTATACTGTAGATTCATGAAATTGCTAGCATATCTTGATCCTAATAGAAAACGATTGGAGTTACAAGTACGAAACATACATGTGCGGAATCAAACAAGAATGTATTCATCACACTAAACACTGACATCTTGCAAGTATGCCTATGAGGGCCCATATACTCGTTATAAAGGTAATTTGGGAATTGTTTACACATACACAGCATATATTTTCCAAACTGCTTATCCCAAGTTAACCCTATGGGGCCCGAGTATTTTGGATAAGTCAGCTCTGTCATCAAAGTTTTTTCCATCCCTCATCACGAGGCCAACATGAGGTAACTCGGGTGGACCCCAAAAGGTTAATGGGGGTCACAGTTTGAGCACGCCCAGTAGCATCTTCCAGTGTTTTGTCATCCTGGGCATTGAACTCAAGCTTGGTAGGTGTTGTACTGAGCCTCTTTTGGCAAAGGTTTGCAATGTAGTTTTGCCACCAACTATGAGGCCTACCAACTGGTGTTTTACCAGTTCTTTCAGATTGAAATACTTTTTTGGGGAGTTTCTCAAAAGCATGCAGATGTGTCCAAAGTAATGGTCCTGATCTCTCAATCTCGACCCGGAGGTTTTCACAGATGGCAGCACCTCACATCCTCTCACTCAGCAGGACTTCAGCCACCAGCTGCAAGAATCTCACTTCAAGAGCTTTTATCCACAACCTGATCCTTCAGGTCAGGTGTTGGCAACCTATAGCCTGTGGGCCGGATCCAGCCCATGAAGAGGTTTCATCTGGCCCACCAAGCATGCCTAGAAAGGAAGAGATTGATTTTATATTTAATTTATTCTTTTCAAAACCTCATACACCCTCCTCCAGGCAAGCACCACAATCACTTATACATTCCAGCCTGCCATAGGGCCAAGCTGTGTTAATCTGACTTGCAGTTAACCCTTTGAGTGGTGAGTGTTCTTTGTCCTCCTAGGATGTTTTGGGGAAAAAAATTCAGAGGACCTTCACCTATAAATTTCTTGTATGTTTTTGTTCATAATGTGATGAATAATTGTCGATTGTAGTGCATGAAAGGCAAAAAAATACAGCAAACTCAAAAAAGGTGATTTTAAAAAACATGAAACTGAAGTTTCATTAAAATTTTGAAAACGTATATTTGAGCTTACTAATCAAAGGGTTGTTAATGAAAGGTTGCCAACCCCTGGTCATTACATACAGTTTGTGATCATAGGTGAGGATGGGGAGGTGAAAAACTTTAAAAAAATCAAAAGTTTGACCTTGAAAATGTCAGATTCAGCAACCACAGTCCTGAGATCCCACAAAATGGCAGAAACCCTGGAGATGTGACTGTTGATTTCATTTCTGTATCACCCTTCACTGGAGAACCAGACCCTGAGGTACTTGAACCTTTCCACCTGTTTCAGTGGGGCCCCCATAACATTCAGGACTTCCTGAGAGGACCATAACCTGCATTTTGGAGATGCCCAATTTCATTCTGGCCATGGTATATTCTGAGTCTAACTGATTGAGCACACCCTGAAGCTCCAGTTGAGACCAACCCAGGATGGCATCATCAGCAAAGAGAAATATCCATACCTTGACACCTCCAATGCTGGCACCAAGGGCAAAGCTACACCTACAGATCTATTTAAATAAGGATCAGGAAAGCAGTGAGAATGTAACCCTGACAGAGTCCCACACATACTAGGAACATGTCTGAACTCATCCCATTTACTCAAATCACCTGCACATGTATACTTCTTTGGCATGTTTGCATAAGCTGGGGTGTAGTTGGTATTTAACTTAAACCACAAGATTTCAGAATGAACAGGGATTGAATGTTCTTTTAATCTCTTCCCAGGTCATGGTTGGGCAGCTGCCAGATGATTTCTTATGTGTTGCTCCAACACCACAGCAGCAAATAGCTTCCATTGATCATGAAACGGCAGCTGCACTGGCATATCAGAATTTCCAAAATCCATCTGGAAGTGGACCTGTCTCAGGAGGCTACCTCTCTGTCACCATTGTTATGGCTCAACTTGTGAAGAATTATGGTATGACACGAATGGATCCTTATGCCAGACTGAGGGTTGGCCACACTGTCTTTGAGACTCATACTGATGCCAATGGAGCACGAACTCCTCGGTGGAACAAAGTCATTCACTGGTATGTCATTGAAAAGTCTTTTTATTACCCTGGTCTCAGAGGAATTTCAAAATAATCTCTTTCTCTAGTTTTCTGCCCCGAGGAGTTGACACACTATACGTAGAGATCTATGATGAATGCTCATTTACGTCCGATGAGCTGATTGCTTGGGCACACATAAAGATTCCTGAACGTGTACTAGAGCAAGGTGAAACCGTTGAAGGTTCGTTCCCACTTTCCGGGAAACAGGGGGAAGAACAAGAAGGCACAATTCACCTAGTCTTCTCTTATTCTAGCCATCATGTAAGAGATATATAGAGATGCCAATGATAGTCGCTAGCTCAAGAGGAAAATTAACCTGTGCTCACTTTGAAGTATCATCCATTTCACAGCCAGGAGGAATGGCAAGGCAGTATTACATGATGCCATATGGATATCCATCAATTGGTTTTGGAATGTCAGCTCCAATGGGGGCTCCTCTTCCCGTGACTGTGAGCCCACAGGCTCCTCCTGTACCTGTTGGCCAAGATGCCCTTACACATACTCCAACCTCCTCCCAACAAAGGCCCAGACCAACTCTGTCTGAAAAAGAGCTTGAAGAGGTTCAAACTCCTTTGTCCAATCATACGTGCCTTTGACTTTGTTATAGCAAAATATCTCATATTTTCTTCCTTATTGTTGTTCAGATGAAGGAGATGTTCCCTGGAATCGAGGAAGATGTGATCAAGACAGTGTTTGATGCCAACCAAGGAAACAAAGATTCCACTGTCAATTCTTTGCTTTCCATGAGTGATTCATGAAATCCTTGACTTCCCCATACTTCCATTCCTTTCTCATAAACTCAGATGATTGCTTCATGAAAAGTTTATTTCATGGAACAAGGGGGAATGTTACTCTCATCCTTGTGGCTTGCTTCCCTCTTCGATGCTGTCAAACCTGGAATATTTTATTTCAAACCTGTGAAGTCTAACTTCTTGGAATACTAATTGCTGTGCATCTGAGTTGTGTCAATCTTGGAATACTATATTTCAATGTGAAAATTACTATTTATTCTATTACCATTATTTCATGGGAATACTTAATCTGTAGCATTTTGTGGGCCACTTGTACCTCTCATTTTTATTTGTTCCCTAAGATTTCTTATGATGGCTGATTCCATAGTAAAATATACAGAATTTTATTATTTTATAATTTGTCATGATTACCCTATAAATGGGACTGGGTGCAATGAGCATGTCTGCGTTATTGCATATGTGACTTGGGATAGAGTGAAAAGCCAGTAAGGCTCAGACTTCTTGAAAAATTGTGTGATATAGGGAAAGACTCCCTTGAAACTACTACTTTCTCTCAAACTTTGAATCCAGACCACTAATTCTGCCTGCTGAATTCCATGCTTAGGTGATTGGCTGAATTTATCATGCAATTCATGCAAACAAGCCTGCATCATTTGCTGAAGGGAATTTCTCATAGGAGTAATGTGGAGCTCATGAGATACATTATCCAAGTCTGATTTTCCCTTCAGTTGCATGTGTAATATCATCTTTGCTGGTACATGCATGTAGATGAGTAATTGGAGGTCATCTCCTTGACTGTGTTCTGTTGAAATGAGGCATTATGAAAAAATTGTAGAGTGCTTCTGCTTTCAGCTTCATCTCAATGTGTGCCATATTCCAAGATGTATGTATAAAGACCATTATGACTCATTATCCCTTGAGTTAAGTTTCTAGCTCCTATGCCAAATAACGAGTGGCATTTGATGTGAAAGGAGGGAATATATTCCCTTCCTTGCCAGAATAGGCTTATGCACTGTTGAGCACAATGTGGTGTAACCAGTATGGATTTTGAAGGAGAATGTCTTATCATCTATATGTGATCATTCAGCATAAATTATTTCAGGGAGGTGACATGAAATCACCAAGTTTGGAGCTGTGATTGTGAAGCAATGTGATCCATAGAAATGCTCAAACGGAATTCAAAGACGTTATTTAAGTATGCCGTGGGATCATTTTCAGTCCTGGCAGCAGTGTATCTTCTGTCTGGAAGGATCCCATCTAATCTAGTCCTTTTTTCTGGCACTCTACCTGATAATCAAGATGAAAATGTGATGGAAGTGAAGACAACAATGCCAAAGCTACAGCTTGACCAGAATTATTGGATTATGGTATGAGATTATATGGTCTTGATCTGACTTTTTCTGAAATTATAGTTGATGATTTTTAATACTATTCCAAGAAAAAACAGCACTCTCTCCCCAAGCTTGAGGGGATATTGCTCTCTCTTCTCTCATTCATTGCATGAAATTCTGTGCACTGATAATGGTGATATCCTTATGGTTGGAAGGTCTCTTAGTTCCCCTTAATTTAGGATAGAATTCATGACAGTTCATTAGGAGTTTTGATTGGGTGATTAGGAAAGATGGAAGGGATTGTCCTGTCTGCTACCTCTCCATTGTTCAGTTGTTTTTTTTTTTTGGAATAGTGTAATTTATTTCAATGATTCAGTTCCAATATGTCCTAAAATCATCTCAGTGGCAAATCAAACTGAAAAGTTCATTTATCAGTTACCAGTTACTTTCTTTGATATAATTTTAGCATCCTGAGGAAAGTTTTTGTTCTTTTTAGCATCCTGATATTTCTGGAATCCCTATGATTGACTGGCATAATTATACCCAGATTAGCATGGAAGAGGCAATGACAGGTGAGCTTTGACTATTGCATTAAGCTATTCCCAGAGTAAATGAGAGTTTATATCCATGTCCTCTTATTGAAGGGCCTGGTGAACATGGCATAAAGCTGCACACAAATGAAGGAATTCAGGAAGTGGATGAACTTTATAAGGTCAATGGCTTCAATGGATATGCATCTGATATGATAGCCCTGAACAGATCTCTACCTGACATCAGGCATCCAAAGTGAGCAACTGCCCTTTTCTCCACCTTTGCACTCTTGAAGGATACTCCATTCTGATGCTGAACAGAAAGCTTTTGAGAAGAAACCCAAACTCCCTTCATATTGACTATGAATGAGTATTTCAGTTGAGTTATGGCATCACTACACTCTGCTACCCCTCTGCTCCCCTATTTTTCTATGCAGAGGGAGAGCATCCAATTACTCTGTCTGTATGTGCTATTATTCTAGGTATCAACATGCCCCTTCAGTCATTGTAGCTGTCCTCACTCTCTCTTTTTTTGTTGCTTTGTCTTAGGGAAGATTTACGCACATAAAAATACTAACATGAGATATTTTCTCCATTGGCAATAGTGCTTCCTTGAAATAGGGTTTTTCTCTGTTTTCATCTAATTGTGCAAAAGATTGCCTCTGCCCTCTCTTCATTTCTTCTCATCACTTCTCATACTTATTGGGAGTGCTACTAATTACAATAGACATTAAAAGCTTCAAAAGTCGTTCATTGTAACACAACTTTCTTTGACTTTAATTAAATTTGGCCAATTCTCTGTACCATTAAGTGACTGTGGCACTTAAAACTTTTTTGCCCTCAATCCCTTATATATCTCTGTTAAGGGTCATGGAAACATGCTTGATTGGTGACCTGGTGACACTTCACTTATCCTTAACTTCTTTCCTAATGAAACTAGAGAGATGGTTCTTGATACTTATATAGAACTGATTCACCCTTTCTGGCAGTTAATGTTATGGCAACCAACCTAGTGGTTCATGTTATTACAATATACAGGATGAGTATAAATGATTAGTGCAAAAATAAATTGTAATAACTTTTTATTTATTTGAAGAATTGACAAAAAAAAAAAATTTTATTCTCCGAGGTAAGTTTTGATAAACCCACTTGATAAACTCCACATATCCTTCATCATTCGCAATAATTAATCTAATTCAATGTTCAATTCAATGTTCACTGAAAACATTGTTTAAAACAGCTGCAGGAATGGATGTAACAACATCTCAAATACACATTTTGAGCTCTTCAATATCCCTTGGTTTGTTGTGATATACATTTGTCTGTACATATCCCCAAAGATAAAAATCCAATGGGGATAAGTCAGGAGACCAAGCAGGCCAACTTACTGATTCTCCTCTGCCAATTCAATGTCCTGGGAATGTTTTGTCTTGAAACATTCACACATTTTGAGCCAAGTGTGTCGGTGCTCTGTCTTGCTGAAAGACTGCCCATTGTAATAGGCTCAGAGTTTGTTGCAGCTCAAGAACAAAGAACTCTTGCAACATGTTCAGATAAGATTCTCCATTTACTGTTCGTTCCTCAAAAAAGAATGGTTCGTAAATGTGATCGTGTGACAGAGCACACAAAATGTTTACTTTGAGTGAATCCCTCTCATGCATGTGGATTTAGTGTGGATTTGATCCTGCAGTTATGGTGATTTACTTTGTCTTAGATATGAAAAGTTGCCTCATCACTAAAAATCAGATTTGAAAGGAAGTTTTCATCTGTTTCAATCTTTTTTATGAATTCTTGACATGCATTTACTCTTTTTTCATGACCTTCCTCCAGCAGTTGGTGTAATACCTTTACCTTTTAAACCTTGAATTTCAAATCCCTGCAAAAGATTTTATGCACAGAAGAATATGGAATGCCAAGCTCAGCTGCTGCCCTCCTTATTGAGTTCTTTGAGCTTCTGACGAATGCTTCATGAACAGCATTCACTCTTTCTGGAGGTTGTCTCAGCCTACTGAGAGATTTCCCTTTGAGTACATTTCCAGTTTCACTGAATTTTATTTACCCATCCTCTGATAATATTTCTATGCACTGCCAACCTATTCATTTTATGTCTAAAGCACCTTTGAGCTGTAACAATTGAACCACTTCTGTGAACCCATCTGACAAGTTTGGCCTTCTCTTCTGCAGACGTCATTTTACTGAAAAAAGCGCATCAATATAAAATAAATCATCTGGACTCAAATTTCACAACCTCCTTAATTGAATGTTTTTTATTTTGTCAATTCTTCAAATAAATAAGAATTTATTACAATTTCTTTTTGCACTAATAATTTATATTCACCCTGTTTGACATCAAATGCTAAAATAGAGATGCTGATCAACCACAAGCTAAAATACCTAATCTAGTATTTCCATTAAATTTGCTCCATGTGTTTTGCTATGTAATTGCAGCTTGTGTACCAAAAGTCATTTTAGGATATATTGAACTTCTGGTGATATGGACCATTTTTTGCAGGATGCCTAGGTTTTGTGGTGGTAAAATCCATCCTCTTTCTCACTGATTTTCTTTAATGCAGGAAAAACCTATGCTCACTCATTTTTGAGTTATCCCCTATTGTGGTGTTGTCCCCAAATATGGGGACAAACAATAGACAGAGTCAAAGGAATGTGATTTACAATGTGCCAAAGTACTCAGCACTATTATGCTACTTCTGAAAAGATGAAGGAGCTTTGTCACACTGGTCAATACTTCTGAATACACACAATAGAAAGGATGTATAGGAGGCATTAGAACCTGGCAGAACACTCAACTCATGCAGAGAAAATAGTAAAATTGAAACGAGTAGGTGACTGCATTAATGTCAGAACTAAGTCAAAATTGTTTCTAAGCTTGCTTACTTGGGTTTGCACAAGCTGAGATTTGGCATCCTCTCATCTGCCTACTTTTTAGCTTCAATTGTCATCTGGCTGGAGTATCCTTCTAAGTAAAGGTAATGCATATATGTTTTTATTCTAGATGCAAAGAGAAGAAATACCTAAAGGAGCTGCCAAATGTCTCTGTGATTGTCCCATTCCACAATGAGCATTGGTCAACACTCCTGAGGACTGCAGCAAGTGTCCTCAATCGATCCCCACCCAACATGGTCAAAGAGGTGATTCTGGTTGATGATGCCTCCACTAAGGATTTCCTGAAAGAGAAACTGGACAAATATGTAAAAGAACACATGCCCAGAGTGCGTGTTGTTCATTTGCCAACACGATCTGGGCTAATTCTAGCTCGCTTGGCTGGAGCTCATGAGGCAACAGGGAACATATTGATCTTTCTTGATTCTCATTGTGAAGCAACTACAAACTGGCTCCCTCCTCTTCTTGGTATGACTTTCAATGCTGAAGTGCACTTAGAACAAATCATCCTGAAGGAAATAGTCTCATGGTCTCATCTCCTCTCCTTGTCTCCAGATCCTATAGCCCGTGATAAGAGGACAGTGGTCTGTCCCTTCATTGATGTCATTGATTATCATACATTTGAATATCGAGCTCAAGATGAAGGAGCAAGAGGGTCCTTTGATTGGGAATTTTTCTACAAACGTCTTCCTCTCCTTCCAGAGGATGTGCAGAATATGCCTGAACCATTCAAGTGAGTGATGGGTGCAAGACTTCCTAGAAGGATAAGATCAACTGTTTTATTTATATTTTTAATTTTATTTCTTAGTTGTAATTATAGTCACCATTTAGATTCCCTTCATGATATCTTTCAGAATACGATTTGCAAATGACTCAGGAAAAATTAGCTGCAGAGTGGATAATAAATTTCCAATCAAAAAGAAAAACTGTCAATAATAGATGGGGAAATGAAAGTAGAAATTTGTTGAAGTTCCAAGTGCCATGTTTTATTCATGTGAATTTTTGTCACTTTTTATTTCAAGGAATCCCTCTGACAGGGGTTAACACATTGACTGCAAAGTACGAGATATCTCTTACTATATTTCCATATGTCAGATGCCTAGTACAAGATATCTCTCATTTCTAACATTGCATGATGGAGTACTGGATGTTACGATGGTATGGTATGGTATGTTGGGAAGATAGTTGAGAAGTGAATTATGGTTAGGACTTGGGAGAGTTAACAGTTCACCCTGCATCTCTGAAACCTTTTTTTTTTTTTAAGAGTCTTGCACCCAAGAGCTTTCTCAAAACATGAAGTTCTCAAATTGATTGATTACTGTAAGAAAACACCAAAGTAACACATTGTAGACCAGCTCTGGTCTACAATAAATAAGGTCTGCTATTATTTTAATGAATTAATTTTATTCCCTCAGGAGCCCCATCATGGCAGGTGGGTTATTTGCCATCTCTTCAGATTTCTTCTGGGAACTTGGAGGATATGATGAAGGGCTCCAAATTTGGGGAGGAGAGCAGTATGAGCTCTCTTTCAAGGTAAAGATCATTTATGTATTCTGCCAAAGTTAATTTCATAATTGTAATATATTATATACATAAATACTCAGAGTCATTTCCTTTTGTAGGAAGTGTAAGCTAATCCAATCTAGATGGATCTTTTTCCCTTTAAGCATAGAACTATTCAAAAAAGTTTGCCTGTCTTTTGATGAGTTTAAAAAACACATTAACTGGTGTCTCTCTTCTTGTGTAAATACTATTGCAGATTTGGCAATGTGGTGGCCAGATGCTAGATGCTCCTTGCTCTCGTATTGGACACATCTACCGAAAGTATGCCCCCTTTCCAAACCCAGGGATAGGGGACTTTGTTGGACGGAATTACCGTCGTGTGGCGACTGTATGGATGGATGAGTATGCAGAATACTTATACATGAGGCGCCCTCATTATAAAAAAATTGACCCTGGAGACCTCACCAAGCAAAAGGCTATTCGTGAGACACTCAATTGCAAACCCTTCAGGTGGTTCATGAAGAATGTAGCTTTTGATCAGATGCTCACATACCCACCTATTGAACCACCTGACTTTGCCTCTGGAGAGGTATGACATTACTTCATCTTGGTGTATAGACATTGTTATATTTCTGTGATCTGCTCAGCTATATCTTTCTTCCTTTTTAACACATCATGTTGATAATGGATTTCTTTTTTTTAGATACGCAGCCTGGCTGACTCAAGCTTGTGTGTAGATTCCAATTTCAAGGGACAGAATGAAAGGATTGGATTAGAAAAATGCAAGAAGGAAAACCCACACATCAAGGGGGAGCAGGTGTGCTGCTTTTCCTTTCTGCTGATGATCAGGCCCATTTCTTGGAATCCATTTATCAAATATAGCTCTTTTTTTGTCTTCTAGGAATTCCATTTAACATGGCACAAGGACATCAGACCAAAATCTAGAACTTTTTGCTTGGATGTCTCTACCCATGACTCCAGAGCTCCTATTCTCATGTACCCTTGTCATGGACATGGTGGAAACCAGCTCTGGCAGTATGATGGAGTGAGTAGAGTTGATTATTGTCATATTCCATAGAGTGAACAGTTTAGGATGGACTATGAACTGAATTTCCTAACAGATTATTTTTGCTTATTTGACCCTGCTTTTTTAGTTTGAGGATTTATCTCCGTCAGTGTCCATAAAATGCAAATACAAAGATAGAAGAGGGGAGGTAAGGTTGGACCCCATACATTCTGCAGTATTGTCTGCATTTGAGGACAGTTGATGATGCATTAGAGACTTGAATAAAATTCAAATACCAAAAACTGTGCTAAAATCCATGGTACCACACACATATATTCCTCTTTGAGGAAACACTCTTCATAGGCAATATGTTATTTTGTGAGCTTGATTCCTTTCTACTGCATACAATTTTTTCAGTTAGAGTAAAAAATTTAACAAATATTTCATGGTGGATCATACCCATGCTGTGAACCTAATGCATATATTCTTTGCAAAAATTATGAGCCATAAACCTGAAATTTGTAAGCAGCTCCAACTCAGGGAGGAACTTGGAGCCCTTGGGAGGAGGGAAGGTTGGACCCTCCCCCCAAATGCACTTGACTTTGATTTTCACATTCTCATGTATACCTAGGTTACAGCCAGAGCCAGATTAAGAAGTTGAGAGGCCTTGGGCAAGTGGATTCTGGCCCCCCACCCCCTGCCTCCCAAGACATTTTATCTGGTGGTACAAGTAGCCTGGAGGAGTCACACAATTGAGCACTGGTGGTGCTAGCTTTGATTTGTTACATATGCTACTTTGCACAAATACTTAATATTTTGAATTTTTTGGGGGGGCCCCCTTGGAAAAGTGGGGCCTGGGGCAAAAGCCCCCTTTGCTTACCCCTCTCCCCCCCTTAATCCAGCCTGGTTACAGCCTAAGAGTTTCAGTGCTCTGATGGTAGCAAGGAAGACGATGTTCACTCCTTCAGTGATAAAGAAAGCTGTCAAGAAAGATATGTCACATTTTGGGCTATTGGAATTTTGATTACCTGTACTTTTAAAAAATTTTCTATTCCAGCTGTCCCTCAATGACATGACTAGACTGATACATTCAATGTGCCTTACATGAGTACTTCCAATAGACAAAAAATGTGCCTGGATGACAAACCCTGTTCAAGGAATCACCAGGTGGGTCTGAGGTACCCTCAGGAGTGTGTCCAACCAGCAATCATGAGGAGGTAGGTTGGACACTTGGAGCCAAAATTATATTTGGTCTGGTAAAGGTAATATACAGGGTGGGCAATAAATACCTAACACATTTTAAAGTAATGTGACATGGACATTATGACAGGAAATGAAATTATTTGTATAACATAGTAAACTACAATCTCATAAGTTTTACACATAATATCCATGTCTGGTTTTTGCCTCATTTAGGTCTTGAAAACAGCACATAAATGTCCACCATATTCCTATATTCACTGACATGCATGGATCACTATGTTTTGCATCACTTTTCACCAAGTCGATTGGAATATTGCCTATTGCCAGTTCAATGTTCATTCATATGGCGGTATTTTTTTATTATGCAATGTGTACGACTGTCACAGTGACGTCTGAGTGATAAACAACTTCCTTGCTCCAAAACTCATAGAGATGGGATTTGATGACCAAACCTGGTTCCAGCAGGATGGGGCAACTGCCCACACTCCCCATGCATCAATGGCACTGCATTGACAGACAAACAATGAACTGGCATTAGCCAATATTCATGCAGAACATGACTGGAAAGCATGAGTGCCATAAGAAGCTTTCTCCTGGATGTTGTGTTCTTTGCTTTGACTTTCCATATTTTCCAAAGAAACACATTTTCTTTGCTCTTGGGCATGCCTAATAAGTGCTGACACCTTCTTGGGGGGAGAGAAGAATCCTCTCCATAGAGTGGAGTTAGTTAATATTGAGCATCTGGACTCACTGGCTAGAACTGGAACTGGTGCAGTTTCTCATTAGATACCAAGGATCTTTCTGTACTGCATTCTGAATCTAACGATCGACTGGATAGGGATAATATCCTTTAAACTTGTTCATTTTGCTAAGTTTCTTGAAGATGAGCATTTTCATCTTAACTTCATCATGGTTGGAGGAAGACTCCTGTGCTTAGGAGGGAAAAAAGTTTTTATATTTCCCAAAACTTCCAGGAAGAATCCAAGGATTCCTTTGGCTTGATTTTGAAATTGGGGTTTGAATTTCTTTCTTTTTTTTCTTGCTTGTGATAATGAAAACCTCTATCACCTAAAATCTTGAAAAGACCATCACATTGAATATGGGAGTTCTATGGTGTCTGTACCTGAGAGGAACCTTGGATGCTGGACCTATTTTCTCAGAGCCTCATCAGCAAGAACTATTTTTGTAAACTTTAGGCTGCTTCCCAATAGTGACCCTTTGAAACAATTAGAAATGTCCAGACTCCTCTTTGAGGAAGAATTATTTTTTGGAATGGTGCATTTTTTTCAACTGTGTTCTTCTTTTGATTGTGGTTTTTGCAGGAGAATAAGTGGCTCATTCATGGAGGGAATCCCCGGTGCCTTGATCACAATCCAAGCAATCAGGAGCTATTTGTTGCAGCATGTGATAAGGGTTCCCTCACACAGAGATGGAAGGTGGAACATGTGAATTTTGATGTAATTGAGAAGTACTGGAAAGACCCATTGGCTGCAATCACTCTTCCTTGATATCTTCAACTGTGATAATGAGCAATCATATAATATGGGACTTGATTGTGTCAAGTATTGATTTAGGCCTGTGCCATTCCAATTCACTGTGATCTTGATGCGTTTTCATTTTTTCCCCATGCACTACTGACAGTGATGATTTCATTATTGATTTGGTTAGGTTTTCTTGCATAAAAAGTAATTTTCTCTTCCTCCCTTGCCTAGGTTTAATTTAAAACTATTTCACACATTCATTGCCAGTGGTACCAGTGCCTAACGTCGTCTTGAAAACGTCTTATGACATATTCGGCAGCGAATGTGTTAAGCACATAATACAGTACAGCTCGAGATGTTCATAATACAGTACACAGGGCTTGCGTTTACGCGCAGATGTGCGTTCTATACGCACAAAATTCTGAAGGGACGCACAACAGAAAAACATCGGGGTCCGAAGGACGCGCGGGAAAGTTCTAGATTTTCTGACTGGTTTTCAGA